AAATAACAATCCAACTTTGACACTCTGTATCTCAGAAAAGAATATCTTGCGGACATATGTTCATACGAACATTTTTTCTTATTTTGACGTCAGCAACATGCTCCTGAATTTTTTACACGTACTCAAGAAACAGTGTTTTTCATCAAGGAGGAAATTGTTGGCTATGTGTTCCTTACATTTCTTGAGTAAACTTCAGAGGAAACCAGCAATCGGTGATGAGATTCCCATTTCTGTTACGCATTATATTCAATTTATTTCGAATATTTCTCCAAAATTCAATATTTGTTATGGAAGACAATATATTATAGTAGATGGAGACACGGCAGGTACCCTTACGAGAGGAGAGTATTAGCCCTTGGCGTCGGTAAAGCCTCATTGCAACTGAGGTAGACGCCTAATGGGTTAGGTATATACAGTGTTTTTCATGGAGGAGGAGGAGAATCTGTTTCGTTCATTCAAGAAGAATATGTCACATTTCAGCATCGGAATTTGAAAAAAGTTTTCGTATACATTTCAGTTTCTTATTCCATGTAACTTCACAATATCAACCGCCAATTCATTTTTAATTCGAGATTTAAAGCCAACTATGTTTTAGATTGAAGAATGAACGTGTTATCAATTGACCATTTAAGCCCAACGGAAATATCGCACAGAAGACGAACCCAGACATAAAATCAGCAACCGGTGATAAGTTTTCCATTCCTGTGTCGTATTCAATTCAAATAGAATATTTTTTCAAAATTAATTATTTGTTATGGAAGGCGATGTATCATTGAAAATGTTTCAGTAGTCACCTTTATGTCTCCATGGAGACACGACAGGTACCCTTACGAGGGGAGAGTATCAACCCTTGGTGTCGGTAAACCCTCATTGCAACCGAGGTAGGCGCCTGGTGGGTTAGGTATATACAGTGTTTTTCATTAAGGAGAAAACTGTTGGCTATCTGTTTCGTTCATTCAAGACGCATATGTCGCATTTCAGCACCGGAATTTGAAGAGAGTTTTCGAAAACATTTCAGTTTCTTATTCCATGTAACTTCTACAATTCCAACCCCTAAGTTATTTATAATTTGAGATTGAATACCAACTATGTTTTAGATTGAAGAATCAACGTGTTATGTATTGACCATTTGAGCCCAACGGAAAAATCGCACAGAAGAGGAACCCGATCAGCAACCGGTTAGGTATATACAGTGTTTTTCACTGAGGAGAAAACTGTTGGCTATCTGATTCGTTCATTCAAGAAGGCTATGTCGCATTTCAGCACCGGAATTTGAAAACAGTTTTAGTATACATTTCAGTTTCTTATTCCATGTTACTTCAAAATTTTGATGCCAACTATGTTTTAGGAAGAAGAATTAACGTGTTATGAATTGACCATTTAAGCCCAACGGAGAAATCGCACAGAAGAGGAATCCAGACATAAAACCAGCAACCGGTGACGAGTTTCCTATTCCTGTGTCGTATTCAATTCAAATAGAATATTTTTTCAAAATTAATTATTTGTTATGGAAGGCGATATATCATTGAAAATGTTTCAGTAGTCACTTTATGTCTCCATGGAGACACGACAGGTACCCTTACGAGGGGAGAGTATCAACCCTTGGCGTCGGTAAACCCTCATTGCAACCGAGGTAGGCGCCTGGTGGGTTAGGTATATACAGTGTTTTTCATTAAGGAGAAAACTGTTGGCTATCTGTTTCGTTCATTCAAGAAGAATATGTCGCATTTCAGCACCGGAATTTGAAGAGTTTTCGTATACATTTCAGTTTCTTATTCCATGTAACTTCAAAATTTCGACCCACAATTTATTTTCAAATTGAGATTTAATGCCAACTATGTTTTAGGTTGAAGAATTAACGTGTTATGAATTGACCATTCAAGCCCAACGGAAAAATCGCACAGAAGAGGAATCCAGACATAAGATCAGCAACCAGTGATGAGTTTCTCATTCTTGTGTCACATTCAATTCATATAGAATATTTTTTCAAAATTAATTATTTGTTATGGAAGGCGATATATCATTGAAAATGTTTCAGTAGTCACTTTATGTCTCCATGGAGACACGACAGGTACCCTTACGAGGGGAGAGTATCAACCCTTGGTGTCGGTAAACCCTCATTGCAACCGAGGTAGGCGCCTGGTGGGTTAGGTATATACAGTGTTTTTCATTAAGGAGAAAACTGTTGGCTATCTGTTTCGTTCATTCAAGAAGAATATGTCGCATTTCAGCACCGGAATTTGAAGAGTTTTCGTATACATTTCAGTTTCTTATTCCATGTAACTTCAAAATTTCGACCCACAATTTATTTTCAAATTGAGATTTAATGCCAACTATGTTTTAGGTTGAAGAATTAACGTGTTATGAATTGACCATTCAAGCCCAACGGAAAAATCGCACAGAAGAGGAATCCAGACATAAGATCAGCAACCAGTGATGAGTTTCTCATTCTTGTGTCACATTCAATTCATATAGAATATTTTTTCAAAATTAATTATTTGTTATGGAAGGCGATGTATCATTGAAAATGTTTCAGTAGTCACCTTTATGTCTCCATGGAGACACGACAGGTACCCTTACGAGGGGAGAGTATCAACCCTTGGTGTCGGTAAACCCTCATTGCAACCGAGGTAGGCGCCTGGTGGGTTAGGTATATACAGTGTTTCTCATTAAGGAGAAAACTGTTGGCTATCTGTTTCGTTCATTCAAGACGCATATGTCGCATTTCAGCACCGGAATTTGAAGAGAGTTTTCGAAAACATTTCAGTTTCTTATTCCATGTAACTTCTACAATTTCAACCCCTAAGTTATTTATAATTTGAGATTGAATACCAACTATGTTTTAGATTGAAGAATCAACGTGTTATGTATTGACCATTTGAGCCCAACGGAAAAATCGCACAGAAGAGGAACCCAGATATAAGATCAGCAACCGGTTAGATATATACAGTGTTTTTCACTGAGGAGAAAACTGTTGGCTATCTGATTCGTTCATTCAAGAAGGCTATGTCGCATTTCAGCACCGGAATTTGAAAACAGTTTTAGTATACATTTCAGTTTCTTATTCCATGTTACTTCAAAATTTTAATGCCAACTATGTTTTAGGTTGAAGAATTAACGTGTTATGAATTGACCATTTAAGCCCAACGGAGAAATCGCACAGAAGAGGAATCCAGACATAAAATCAGCAACCGGTGACGAGTTTCCTATTCCTGTGTCGTATTCAATTCAAATAGAATATTTTTTCAAAATTAATTATTTGTTATGGAAGGCGATATATCATTGAAAATGTTTCAGTAGTCACTTTATGTCTCCATGGAGACACGACAGGTACCCTTACGAGGGGAGAGTATCAACCCTTGGCGTCGGTAAACCCTCATTGCAACCGAGGTAGGCGCCTGGTGGGTTAGGTATATACAGTGTTTTTCATTAAGGAGAAAACTGTTGGCTATCTGTTTCGTTCATTCAAGAAGAATATGTCGCATTTCAGCACCGGAATTTGAAGAGTTTTCGTATACATTTTAGTTTCTTATTCCATGTAACTTCAAAATTTCGACCCACAATTTATTTTCAAATTGAGATTTAATGCCAACTATGTTTTAGGTTGAAGAATTAACGTGTTATGAATTAACCATTCAAGCCCAACGGAGAAATCGCACAGAAGAGGAATCCAGACATAAAATCAGCAACCGGTGACGAGTTTCCTATTCCTGTGTCGTATTCAATTCAAATAGAATATTTTTTCAAAATTAATTATTTGTTATGGAAGGCGATATATCATTGAAAATGTTTCAGTAGTCACTTTATGTCTCCATGGAGACACGACAGGTACCCTTACGAGGGGAGAGTATCAACCCTTGGCGTCGGTAAACCCTCATTGCAACCGAGGTAGGCGCCTGGTGGGTTAGGTATATACAGTGTTTTTCATTAAGGAGAAAACTGTTGGCTATCTGTTTCGTTCATTCAAGAAGAATATGTCGCATTTCAGCACCGGAATTTGAAGAGTTTTCGTATACATTTTAGTTTCTTATTCCATGTAACTTCAAAATTTCGACCCACAATTTATTTTCAAATTGAGATTTAATGCCAACTATGTTTTAGGTTGAAGAATTAACGTGTTATGAATTAACCATTTAAGCCCAACGGAGAAATCGCACAGAAGAGGAATCCAGACATAAAATCAGCAACCGGTGACGAGTTTCCTATTCCTGTGTCGTATTCAATTCAAATAGAATATTTTTTCAAAATTAATTATTTGTTATGGAAGGCGATATATCATTGAAAATGTTTCAGTAGTCACTTTATGTCTCCATGGAGACACGACAGGTACCCTTACGAGGGGAGAGTATCAACCCTTGGTGTCGGTAAACCCTCATTGCAACCGAGGTAGGCGCCTGGTGGGTTAGGTATATACAGTGTTTTTCATTAAGGAGAAAACTGTTGGCTATCTGTTTCGTTCATTCAAGACGCATATGTCGCATTTCAGCACCGGAATTTGAAGAGAGTTTTCGAAAACATTTCAGTTTCTTATTCCATGTAACTTCTACAATTTCAACCCCTAAGTTATTTATAATTTGAGATTGAATACCAACTATGTTTTAGATTGAAGAATCAACGTGTTATGTATTGACCATTTGAGCCCAACGGAAAAATCGCACAGAAGAGGAACCCGATCAGCAACCGGTTAGGTATATACAGTGTTTTTCACTGAGGAGAAAACCGTAAATCATGCTATCTTTGTTGCAGCTGCCCCTGACACACTTTGTGCTATTCGCGAGAACGGCCGTCTCCCTTCCAGTTGTATTGAGTTCATTAATGTATTGACGAGGTATTGACCAAAGAAGAAGAAAACACGTGATGTCAATCATTACGTCAACGAGTCGTCGACAGCTTGACACGAATGACACGCACAGAACATGACACGTCACTTATGACGTCTTTGAGTACATTATTTGAAAGTTCGATTATTATTGTTTGCAAATTGCAATTTATTTTTTAAAATGACCAACTTGCGACAGAAACAAATCAGTAAGATCGTTTCAACTTCAACTACCCTTTCGCTTCTATTTACTGTTTTCAGGTGCAATCAAACAAATGTTGAATTTGAATCAACCCCAAAGGAAAGTTGGTAATTCAGAGCCTGTGTGGAAAATCTTAGTGTATGATCGAGTTGGACAAGATATTATATCTCCCGTAATTTCTGTAAAGGAGCTCCGAGAGCAGGGAGTCACTCTTTTCATGTAAGTCCATTTATCATGATCTGGGTAAAATATGGGTACCATTCCAAAACTCTTCAGGGCATGGGGAATTGTGCATTTATGGTGATAAAACTACTTTTCGATTTGTTTAGTGGAATGAAATAGTATACATCAAATTTCAGACAGTTGCACTCTGATAGGGATCCCATACCTGAAGTACCAGCAGTGTATTTTTGTGCACCAACTGAAGAGAATTTGGGTCGTATAAGTCAGGACTTCCAGAAAGGAACTTATGACAGTTATCATCTTAATTTTATATCCCCAATAACTAGACAGAAACTGGAGGATTTAGCATCTGCAGCAATAGCTGCAAATTGTGTAGGTCATATTCAAAAGGTAAATAATTGATCTAGTGTAGAAGTCCATAGATCAAGGTGTAGTAACAGTTCTAAGCTAGATAGTTTTTCCATGTATTATTGTTTCAGGTTTATGACCAATATTTGAACTTCATTTCAGTGGAAGATGATTTATTTGTACTCAAACATCAAAACAGTGATATAATATCATATTATAGTGAGTTTTCTAATGTTTTTATTATATTACAGAGAATATTGAAATTTTTTGCATTTCCAGATATAAATAAAGGGGATATTATAGATACTGAAATGGAAAATATAACAAACACAATAGTTGACAGTTTATTTTCAGTATTTGTTACTCATGGTAAAAAGTTTTTCATTTAAATATCATTAGTGCAACAATGATATGAATATTATTTTTTCAGGTACTGTTCCTATTATTAGGAGCCCTAAAGGAAATGCAGCTGAAATGGTTGCCAAAAAATTAGATAAGAAATTGAGGGAAAACTTATTTGATACAAGAAATAACTTGTTCATTTCTGATGCACAATCAGGAAACTTCAACTTTCAAAGACCCATTTTAATAATACTAGATAGGAATGTGGATATGGCAACTCCCTTGCATCACACTTGGACATACCAAGCATTAGCACATGATTTGTTAGACTTAGCACTGAATAGGGTAGTTATAGAAGAATCTACCCCATCTGGAGGTGATTTTTCATTGCTTCCTCCACAAATTCCTGTTTATTTTGTGATTTCAACATTGCAGGAGCAAGAGCTAAAAATCGTGTATGTGAATTGGATGTCAAAGATAAATTTTGGTCCACCTACAAGGGTAGTCCATTTCCTACAGTAGCAGAAGCAATCCAAGAAGAGCTAGAACAATATAAATCATCAGAAGAAGAAGTCAAGAGGCTCAGGAGTTCAATGGGAATGGATGGTGATAATGATATAGCACTTTCAATGGTTTCAGACAATACAGCCAAAATTACATCAGCTGTTAATTCCCTGCCTCAGCTATTGGAAAAGAAAAGACTTATTGATATGCACACTTCAGTAGCAACTTGTAAGAACACCTAATTAATAATTATAAAACTTGAAATTCATTTTCCACAGCTCTTCTGAATATCATCAAGTCTAGGAAATTGGACACATTTTTTGAATTGGAAGAAAAAATTATGAGCAAAGCACAAGCAGTTGAAAAAAACCTGATGGATATTATCACAGATCCTGGAGCTGGGACAGCTGAAGATAAGTTGAGATTATTCATCATTTATTATATCTGTGTGCCTCATCTTGCTGAATCTGACCTTCAGAAGTATGAAAATGCTTTAACTGAGTCTGGCTGTGATTTATCCTCCCTGTCTTACATCAAAAGATGGAAGTAAGTTGTTTCCATTTTTAAATTTTTTTCATTCATCATTTATTTTTCCACAGGAGTTACACCAAAATGGCATCTGGACCAAATATTAATCAATATGAAGGAGCAGGAACCAAGACAGTGAACATGTTTTCAAAATTAGTGTCCCAGGGCTCTAGTTTTGTGATGGAAGGAGTTAAAAACTTGGTCATCAAGAGACATGTTAGTTTAAATAAGTTCTACATATCCCATGATCAATGTCAATTTGTTTCTTTCAGAATCTGCCTGTTACCAAAATTGTAGATAATCTCATGGAATTCAAAAACAGCTCAGAGATGGAAGATTATCACTATTTAGATCCAAAACAGCTGAAAATGACTGAAATACCAAGAAATAGATCTCCATTTCAAGATGCAATTGTTTTTGTTGTTGGTGGAGGGAACTATATTGAGTACCAAAATTTGGTTGATTATGGAAAGGTGAATATTATTTCAACCAATCAATGATTGAACCATTGCAGCTTCTTTCAATATGTATGACTCTCTTTTATTTCTCTAGGCAAAAACAACAACTGGTTCTATCAAGAGAATATCCTATGGTGCAACTACACTGAATAATGCAAATCAGTTGATGAAACAGTTATCATTACTGGGACAGGAAATTTAATTGTGTATGACAAGTATGCATGTATATGGATTTATTTAAGTGAATATGTACATAGCTATTATATATCTAATATTATTATATTTTTTAATTGTATGTTAAGAGAAACCTTTTTATCTATTCAAATTGTTCATTCCATTGTGAAAAAGATGATTTCAAATCTTAAATGTATCAATAAAACTTGTTAAGGATATTCAAATGTGCTTCTGTGATACAAGTCAGTCATATTCAATGTGGATATATCAAGGTACAATTTTTTCATTTCTTGAACCTATCCTGACCTTAAAAAATTACCAACAATAAATTATAATACTTATTACCTATATCTTTGTTGAATAAATTAATAGTGATTAACTTGATAAATACTTCTTTCCATATAACTGGACCTTTCTTTCAAATGCAGCAGATTTAATTGGCATATCTTCTCCATAAAATGGGTTCATGGAATGTTTGATGTAAGCTTCATAAATCTCAGAGAAAAAGTTCTTGATTCCATCATCGTTTCGGTTATCATGAACAATCACAAATCTTATTAAACTAGCAGTGACAAAAGCAGATACAAACCACTGGTTGAACTTGTCAACAGATTTCAAATTCATATTGTTTGTTTTCCATTTGTGTTCATCAATAAGGTCTAGAGCAGAATGGGCAATGAACTGGTTTAGGTGCCGATGATCTTCTTTCTGTAATAGATTTCTTCTATATCCAAGATCACAATGGTTTTAAAAAAAATACCTTTGGATCCTTGGTACTACTGAATTCCATTTCGAAAAGTGGCTTATCCGAATGACCGACAATGACAAAATAGTAGGTACCAATCATTTTCGATGAAAATTATTCGAAAAATTAAGATATCATTCAAGAAAAGGGAAAATAACTAAATGTAAACACTGATGAAAATGTTTGAAGTATCAGTCATTTAGCCACCTTAAGTATCAAGTATCAAGTATGACGTATGAGACAAAAACAAAAAAAAATTACAACACTTAACCCTTAACCTCAGTATAATTCTTCTTCTTTTCTATATTATTATTTGTTTATCAAATAAAATGACATTCTACCTGCTGACACTGACTTGAACACCATAGAGTCTATGTCTATGTTGAACACCGACACTGACAGTCAAGAGTCAACCCTAGAAGCCAACTTCAATCTACTAAGCTGAGTACTTACGGACACGTATTGAAAATTAAAAGTTTTCTTCTTGACCTATATTTTTCAATATTATTTCTCTTGAAAAAAAAAAAACAATCTAATGATTAAAACCATAAAACCACTAAAACTATGTTGAAATGGCGAGTTTAGATGATGATAGCCATTCTAGTGATTGGTAAGATTTGAAAAGTTATGTTAAAATTCATTCTCATGTTTGCATACCTATATTATATTATTATTTGAATTTATTCATCAGGATATTGGAATTAGAAAATGCCATACTGGAAGAATGTTCTGCAGCCGATATTTATTGCATATGCAAAGGCAAAGCCCTTCCTGAAACATTGAGGTCAGAAATTTGGCAGGTAAATTTCCAGCCTTATCAAAAATGTATTATGACTAATTATTTACCTTATCAAAGTGTTGAAATCATGTCAGTATATTTACATACTTTATGAAGCATAAACGGGATTTTTAAAGTCAACATACTGATGTACATTTTCTGATAATTGGCATGTCTGAAATAAATATATCTGTTTATATATCTTTTTGTTTTTTTCAGATTTGTCTTGATGTTAGAGATAAAGGTAACCAGTTGGATCAGTTCAATGAAGTATATGACTTACCAAATCAAAATGTGTTGAGGGAAGATTGTACAAGTTTTGTAGCTAAACTTGGGAATGATGAAGAAGACAGGCTTTCTGTAACATCAGATGTAGAATCCATCTTGACATTTTATTGTAAAAGTAGAAACATTCCTTATGTTCGTGAGAATGGGTGGATGGAGCTATTGGCTCCTATCCTCACACTGAAAGTGCCAAGATCTACAACTTATAACCTCTTTGAAGCAATAAGGGACACATACATACCTCAGAGTTGTCACAGTAATGGAAATGCATTTCATATCTTGAGGTTGTTACTGTTATACCATGATCCAGAACTCTGTTCTTTTTTGGATACCAAGAGGATAATTCCAGAACAGTATTGTCTTTCATGGTTTCAGTCACTTTTTGCAGCAACATGCAACTTGGAAGTGGTGATGAATATGTGGGATAACTATTTCCAGCAGTCTGATCCTTTCTTCATATTTTTCTTGTCCTTGATCATGGTTGTGAATGCCCGTGATCAAATAATTTCCATGAAAGATGAGTCAAGAGAAAAAATCATAACTTGTCTAACTAACATGCCTTGTGGTCTAGAAGCTGATGATGTATCTGATTTTTGCACTCTAGCACAATACTATGCTCTTAAAACCCCTGTTTCTTTTAGAAATGACCTTGTACAAAGTATTTATAGTGATTCAGCATCAGTTTCTCAGGCTTTGTGCCTACCTGTCTCTGTACACGAATTGGTGGAAAATACTACACAAGAGACTTCAAATGTGGATGCAGTCAGATTCTTCTTAGTTGATTGTAGGCCTATTGAGCATTATAATGCTGGACATTCCCCAAATGCCTTTCACTTGGACTGCAATTTGATGTTACAAGAACCTAGTGCTTTTGCTACTGCTGTTCAAGGACTCCTCAGTGCTCAAAGGCAAGCATTGGCACACAAATCTAATGCAGGTAAAATAATTAATTATTCAAAACAAAGTGATACCAAAAATTTCATTATTTTTCCCCTTTTTTCCACTGAGTTCAAGGAATTAGTTATTTGTTTTACTAGGCAGCAAAGTAGTAGATTGACTACCTCAGCAGAGAAAGTACACCTATGCTGCCTGTTAAGTGTGATAGAAAAGCCACTTTTGGCTGTTTGGAGAAAAAAATTTATGCTAGCTTAGTATTTTGTGAAAATTTGTTAGATTCAATATTTTTCAAAATATTTCATGAATATTCTCATGAAATTAATGTTCCATCAGGACATATGCATCTGTGAGTTCCAGAATAAAGTTTTTCCAAAATCGATTTTTCTCACAAGAAATTTGAATACCAATCATAGTCTCCTTGGTATATCAAAACTAATGATAATGAGGTATTTTTGATATATATTGTAATGACTTCAAAATAAAATACATTGGGCAAACATGCCGAATTATATGTAGAAGATTTGAAGAACATATTTATCACTTCAGGTATGTTCAATTTGATTGAAAATTTGTTAGATTCAATATTTTTCAAAATATTTCATGATTATTCTCATGGAACTAATGTTCCATCAGGACATATGCATCTTTTTCCAAAATCGATTTTTCTCACAAGGAATTTGAATACCATTCATAGTCTCCTTGGTATATCAGAACTAATGATAATGAGGTATTTTTGATATATATTGTAATGACTTAAAAATAAAATACATTGGGCAAACATGCCGAATTATATGTAGAAGATTTGAAGAACATATTAATCACTTCAGGTATGTTCAATTTGATTGAAAATTTGTTAGATTCAATATTTTTCAAAATATTTCATGAATATTCTCATGGAATTAATATATTCCATCAGGACATATGCATCTGTGAGTTCCAGAATAAAGTTTTTCCAAAATCGATTTTTCTCACAAGGAATTTGAATACCAATCATAGTCTCCTTGGTATATCAAAACTAATGATAATGAGGTATTTTTTATATACAGGGTGGGTCACGGTAGATGGCACCTTAGACGTTTACGGAGAACGGGACATAAGATCATTCTGAAAATTTGGTTACTCAAGTAATTGCTCTTGATCTATCGACCTTAAATATTTTTAGCTCTGCGGCGTTGCCGCTTCTATCGAAAAGTAGCAACAACTTTGTTATTTCAAATGGAACACCCTGTATTTTATTGCATCTTCAGATTCTCTCTGAAGAGCTGATTTCATCGATGTATCACACTTGGGGTCTAGCGGAAATGATTACAGAGATATAGGGTGTGAAAAATCGACATTTTTCAACTTAAGGCATTTTTTTTTGTCGAAACTATTCATTATTGGGCAAAACGGCTTACATGTCCCTATCTCAACTTTTGATTAACTATCTACTGATATTCAATTGGGACATATACCGGGTGATCAAGAATCTGAATTCTGCACCACCCTGTATTTTCCTATTTTTAGTGAAATGAATGAAAATAAAATGTTTGCTTGTTTTAATATTTTGGCGGAGGAATACTGTTCTTTCGCCAAAATATAGAAATCAAATAGGGTGATGTGCTTCAATGATTTTATGATAAACACTACTCCCTAAAATATCATGTATTAGCAAAAGAATCTGTATTTTTTTCAAGGTGGAGAACATTTATGTTTCCTCGGTTCAGGCCGAAACGAAGAAGACCAATTCACCCACATGGTGGTGGCTTCCTTTCTTCAGAAGCACACCCAATACGTCTCACTCTTAAGCGGAGGGTACATAGCGCTCCACAACTATTTCGCCGACAACCTCGACGTCTTGCACGACCACCAACCGAGGAGTTGCATAGTCTGCGCCCCCAAATACGCGATGAAAAGCTCGCAAGAACCATCGAAAAGTGTGCAATCCAACGACCTTTTCGGGAAAATCTCGGCGGCGATGAAGTCCAAGTCGGCGGAGGTGAAGGGGAAGCTGATCGATTATATCGTGAATCCGAACGGGGTCGGCTCGGTGCAGGAGAGGCATGTTTCCAGCAGCGATAAAATCGGGAAGAGGTACAGGAATGTGGCGCCCGTTTTCAGCATCGACGATGATCATGATAATATGGCCAATGTGGAGGTGAGAAATGTGAATTCGAAATTTTCTCGTTAGTGTTTCCAATTTTGGGAATCGTGATCCCGTTTTGATACCCCGGGAAGAAAACGTAATCCCTGGATACCCGAATTAACCCGAATGTTTTCTTAATTTTAATAAGAAATACATTGAAAAAATAAAGATCTAATAAAAAATAGAAAACTTGAAAACCCCTTTGTTGTAGATGAATAATATCCTATAATAATAATTATAGTATGCCTATAATGCTCGTTGACTAACATCTGAGTAAAGTGTTGTGTGTTTTGTATTATCTATGTATTCTGTGAATGAAGGTAAGTAGCTACCCTGGTAGAAAGACCGTCATGCGCACATCAATAAAACGACATAGTCTTGTTATCTCTCGCCTCCATTCTCTTGGAATCATCCTATTCTCGGAAGAACTTTGTTGTGAAAACATGTATTCTTGCAGTAAGCAATAAACTTGAAATAAAACCTTATTTTGATTGATGTTTGGTAGTGAAAATCATGCAGCAGTAAGCAATAACATCAAGTAGGATATTCACAAAATATCATAATCATCTCACTTTGAATTACAATTCAAAAGTTTGTGATCCGCAAACAAAAATCACAATCTTTAACAGCGCATTTGAAATGTAAATTATCAAAAAATCATCTTTAGTTATGAAACATTGAACTAGGTAGGATATAGTTATTCACAAAATATCATAATTATCTCACTTTAAATTACAATTCAAAAGTTTGTGAACCCCAAACAAAAATCACAATCATCAACAGTGCATGTAAATGAAATGTTGAATATCAAAAAAATCATTTTTAGTTATGAAACATTGAACTAGGAGCTAGAAACAGAAATAGTTTGATGCAATATCCAATATTTAACATCTGCGATTTGCTTGGTGTAGATTAAAATTTGCCTTTGGAAACACCAACGCGTCTTGAGTGAGAAGGAATGAAGTAGATTGCAATTTTATCATTTAAAAAAAAATCGAGATTTTCAGTATCCCGATTTTTCAATCCCGGAAATTTCAGAACAAAAACCTCCATTGATTGGAAACCCTAATTCTCTTGGGTAACAACCCAATTCGCTACCTTGAGAGGATGATGATGATGTGGCAATATAAGATATAACTATACTCATGAGGCTATATAATTTATGTGAAATGTTTTTTTTTTTGAAAAAGTATAATCAAGAGATTCTGGATTCATAAACTATGTGATTTTTTGAATTCTCCTTCCTGAACTAATTTAAAAGGATTTTCACAAAAAATACAAAAAGTTATAAACCACATTATACAGGGAGACACGTCCAGCCCCCATTATGTGTAATAGTTTTTACGTGAAAATCATCTTTGAAGATATTCAAAGTGATCCATTTGAAATTTGAACGTCTTGGCAGTTCCCGTACTTTGAGATTTAGACACTTTATATGAATTTTTGAAATCTGTTAATCTAAATTTGCGAAAATTATTACGTTATTGATGCCAAACAAGGATATTTATTTTTTTATTGGTCCCTACTTATTTAAAGAAGGCCTCAGCATGTTTAAATCCAACTTAATCCAACTTTCAAAAACTCCGTTTTTATTGAGGATATGTCTCATTGTTATTTTCATTTTTGTATTCATGGTTTGGTATACAGGATGTAAATTCAATCGATGACTAAAACCATGAAATATGGTTCCTTAGGTCACTTTAAGAAGTTCTTATGAACATATGCCCTAAACCTCTTAACTTTTGAGCTATAGGGTGTTGAAATTGAATTGAAAAAAATCGTCTTCTCATCATAACTTCAATACTGTTGTAGATATTTTCCCAGCATTTCGAAAATTTGAAAATATTGTTGATAACTTGGATATATGAAAGTCTTGTGGATTTGATACGCCCTCTAGCTCGAAAGTTGGGAGGTTTGAGACATGAACTTCTTTTCTCAAAATGAGCAAGGAACCATATCCTATCTGTTTAACCATCAATTAAATTACACCCTGAATAGCACTGTTTTCGGCTAATTCATTTGTTGATTGTGATCAATTGAGGTAATAGGAATGGGCTTATATCACAAAAAAAAATTATTTCATAATTCGATAGAACTCACCCAAACTAGCTCACCACCGCAAACCGTTTCTTGCTGTGAGCTCCCTACGTTTTATAAAAAATTATTGAAATCCCCGATTTTTCGGACCTCTGAAAACGAGGCGATGATGTGACGTCAAAACCCTGATACTGAAACAAGACTATTCCAGACAGAGACGAATGATACATGATTTCTGATAGAGTGAATTAGCGCGAGATCATAGTTGAAAGATTCAATATATCAGTTGCCTCAGTCTCCGTCGGGCGTTTGGTATTTTCTTTCAACTATGGCGAGATGAGGTTTCTACGTCATAAGAGGGTCCGTTTTCCGAAGGTACTATTATTTATGCCCAAAAATAAAACATCCCAGTTAATTTTTCGATCGAATTATGTCGTCAATCATCATTTATGTATAAAAGGATCATTATAAACATGGTTTGAGTTAAAAGTTCTACTAAGGTGTACACGCCCATTATACATTCAGTATTTCAATTCTAGCAAATCGACTCTGACGAAAAACAAGAATTAGTGCAAATCCAGGCGTACTTGAAAAACCCGGAAATAGTGGAGCATTTCCCGTGCCAGGAGGTGAAACTGAACGGCTTCATGTACAAAAGCCACCTGATCGTCACCAAGGCGGAGTTGATTGTACTTAGAGAGATCCCGGACATGAAAGGATCGGCCGAGCTGATAGTGAAAAGGCCGCTCTCGGCCATCGTGAAAATAACAGCTAGAAAACGACATCCGGAACTCATTACTTTCAAGTATGGGGTGCCTGATGGAGAGAATCTGAAGATTTCCGATATGGATCGGTTTTTGATACCGAATGCAGACAAGGCTACGAAAGTAGTTTCAGATCAAATACTTATGCAACTTAAAGCAAAAGAGTGATTTATTTGTAAGAATGATGAGTGATATTTATTTGTTAGAACAGGAATGTAAAGTATTGCTTTAATAAGTTATTAAAAAGTTATGAGATTTTAATTACTTCTTCAATTTCCACAATTCCATTTTTTTTTTAATATAAAGTGAAGTTTTGGAGATTCAAACAATAATAATAATAAGAATATCGAAAATAGCACAATGTTTAAAAACTATGAGGAATATGTTCTTCTACTCATGTGCCTCTGTTTCGACGTGTTTGCCCAATATATTTCACATAACAGTAATTTAAAATGCTTTCACAAATATCTGACATCATCATTAATGAGAGTACTTTCAAGTATGGGGTGCCTGATGGAGAGAATCTGAAAATTTCCGATATGGATCGGTTTTTGATACCGAATGCAGACAAGGCTACTAAAGTAGTTTCAGATCAAATACTCATGCAACTTGAAGCAAAAGAGTGATTTATTTGTAAGAATGATGAGTGATATTTATTGGTTAGAACAGGAATGTTAAGTTTTGCTTCAATGTTATTAAAATGTTATGAGACTTTTATTACTTCTTCGATTGCCGCATGTCCAATTTTAAATATAACGTGAAGTTTTGGAGATTCTAACTGAATAATCAATTTTAAAAAATTTCGAGAATAGCACAATGTTTAAAAACTATGAAGAATATGTTCCTCTACTCATTTGCCTCCGTTTCGACGTGTTTGCCCAATATATTTCACGTCATTTCAATTGATTTCACGAATATCTGTCATTATCATTAATGGGAGTACTTTCAAGTATGGGGTGCCTGATGGAGAGAATCTGAAAATATTCGATATGGATCGGTTTTTGATACTAATTGCAGACAAGGCTACTAAAGTAGTTTCAGATCAAATACTCATGCAACTTCAAGCAAAAGAATTTTATTTGTAAGAATGATGAGTAATATTTATTTGTTAGAACAGAAATGTAAAGTATTGCTTTAATAAGTTATTAAAAAGTTATGAGTTTATAACTTCTTCGATTGCCGAAAGTCCATTCTTTTGGGTGAATATAAAGTGAAATTTTGGATATTCTAAATAATCAATTCAAAAAAATATCGACAATATCACAATCTTTAAAACTTTGAGGAATATGTTCTTCTACTCATGTGCCTCCGTTTCGACGTGTTTGCCCAATTTATTTCACATAACAGTCATTTAAATAATATCACAAATATCTGACATCATTAATGAGAGTACTTTCAAGTATGGGGTACCTGATGGAGAGAATCTGAGAATATCCGATATTAATTAGTTTTTGATACCGAATGCAGACAAGGATACTAAGGTAGTTTCAGATCAAATACTTATGCAACTTGAAGCAAAAGAGTGATTTATTTGTAAGAATGATGAGTGATATTTATTTGTTAGAACAGGAATGTAAAGTATTGCTTTAATAAGTTATTAAAAAGTTATGAGATTTTAATTACTTCTTCGATTTCCACAAGTCCAATTTTTTTGGTAAATATAAAGTGAAGTTTTGAAGATTCTATCTGAATAATCAATTCGAAAAATATATAAAAAATAGCACAATGTTTAAAACTATGAGGAATATGTTCTTCAACTCATGTGCCTCCGTTTTATAATCAATTTAAAAAAATATCGAAAATAGCAGAATGTTTAAAAACAATGAGGAATATGTTCTTCTAGTCATGTGCCTCTGTTTCGACGTGTTTTCCCAATATATTTCACATGCCATTTTAATTGATTTCACAAATATCGGATGTCATCATTAATGAGAGTACTTTCAAGTATGGGGTGCCTGATGGAGAGAATCTGAAAATATTCGATATGGATTCGATGGATGGATACCGAATGCAGACAAGGCTACTAAAGTAGTTTCAGATCAAATACTTATGCAACTTAAAGCAAAAGAGTGATTTATTTGTAAGAATGATGAGTGATATTTATTTGTTAGAACAGGAATGTAAAGTATTGCTTTAATAAGTTATTAAAAAGTTATGAGATTTTTATTAATTTTTCGATTGCCGCAAGTCCAATTTTTTTGGTAAATATAAAGTGAAGTTTTGGAGATTCTAACTCAATAATCAATTTGAAAAAAATATTGAAAATAGCACAATGTTTAGAAACTATGAAGAATATGTTCTTCTACTCATGTGCTTCCGTTTCGACGTGTTTGCCCAATATATTTCACATGTCATTTTAATTGATTTCACAAATATCTGACATTATCATCAATGGGAGTACTTTCAAGTATGGGGTGCCAGATGAAGATCTGAGAATATTCGATATGGATCGGTTTTTGATACCGAATGCAGACAAGGCTACTAAAGTAGTTTCAGATCAAATACTTATGCAACTTAAAGCAAAAGAGTGATTTATTTGTAAGAATGATGAGTGATATTTATTTGTTAGAACAGGAATGTAAAGTATTGCTTTAAAAAGTTATGAGATTTTAATTACTTATGTTCCTCTACTCATGTGCCTCCGTTTCGACGTGTTTGCCCAATATATTTCACATAAGTCATTTTAATTGATTTCACAAATTTCTGACATTATCATTAATGAGAGTACTTTCAAGTATGGGGTGCCTGATGGAGAGAATCTGAAAATATTCGATATGGATCGGTTCTTGATACCGAATGCAGACAAGGCTACTAAGGTAATTTATCAAATACTTATGCAACTTAAAGCAAGAGAGTGATTTATTTGTAAGAATGATGAGTGATATTTATTTGTTAGAACAGGAATGTAAAGTATTGCTTTAATAAGTTATTAAAAAGTTGTCAGATTTTTATTACTTTTTCTATTGCCGCAAGCCCAATTTTTTTGGTAAATATAAAGTGGCGTTTTGGAGATTCTGAATAATCAATTGAAAAAAATATCGAAAATAGCACAATGTTTAAAAACTATGAAGAATATGTTCCTCTACTCATGTGCCTCCGTTTCGACGTGTTTGCCCAATATATTTCACATAAGTCATTTTAATCGATTTCACAAATTTCTGACATCATTAATGAGAGTACTTTCAAGTATGGGGTGCCTGATGGAGAATCTGAAAATATTCGATATGGATCGGTTCTTGATACCGAATGCAGACAAGGCTACTAAGGCAGTTACTTAAACTTAAAGCAAAAGAGTGATTCATTTGTAAGAATGATGAGTGATATTCATTTGTTAGAACAGGAATGTAAAGTATTGCTATCATAAGTTATTAAAAAGTTATCAGATTTTTATTACTTTTTCGATTGGCGCAAGTCCAATTTTTTTGGTGAATATAAAGTGAAGTTTAGGAGATTCTAACTCAATAAGCAATTAAAAAAAAATATCGAAAATAGTATAATGTTTGAAAACTGAGGAATATGTTCTTCTACTCATGTGCCTCCGTTTCGACGTGTTTGCCCAATATATTCCACATTACAGTCATTTAAATTAATTTCACAAATATATCATCATTAATGAGAGATATATTGGACAAACACTTCAAAACATAGGCACAAGATTTAAAGAACATATTCCTCACTTCAGAAATAATCAGTTAGTTAAATCAGGTGTGAGATAATCTAGATTTAGTTCCAATTCCTAGTTCTGAACTGTCTCGATTTACTTTGATATGATGTTGAACAAAATGAAAACCGCTCTTTGGACCGTAAAATAATAAGGTATGAATAAGATTTTGACAATCACATATACCAAAAGATTGTAATGAGAAGTTCTGGAACAAATGTTACTCCAAATTATTCTCAGACTTCTACAAATTTCTCATTTTTCAACCTATGGCATCCCCTTTCAGTCCAAATTGACTTCTAGACCCGAGCCGTTTTTTTTGTGACTTTGAGCACAAAACATCTCAGATACGGATTAATTTCAAATTTTTAGTAGACATTTCGCATTGTTAACGATTTATTGAAGAACTAATAGATTAACACTGACAAGAAATGTAATGATTAATGAAAGCGTGATTAATTTCTCTCGATTGAACGGTTCAATCAAAGTACGATTAATAAATTAATACTCTTGGAACGTCCAGATCTTATGTCATAGTATTGACCTGAAAAATAAAAAATAACCATTAATTATTAATTTCCCCCTCAACTTGTCGTACTTACAATATCGTCAATTTTCAAAATAGATCTCACTGTTTCTGTTGCAAAGCTCAAGGCAGATGTGCTGACTAAGAGAGGTTGAACGACATTTTCTTCCAAAATATCAGTAATGCAACCTTTTCGGACATTAATTCCAGCTGACGTCTCTCCGAGAGCGTGACGATTTCTCAACTCTGTAACAGTCTACAAAAAAAAAAAAGAATATTATTTTGTAAAATCTTGAATAGCAAGATTGAAAAATATTGGAAAAAAATTGTTTGAAATTCTAAGTTTAAAACTGAATTCTAAGCAACTTTTTTAATATTATTTTTTGCGATACCTTGCCAGCTAACCCCACTTTTTGCATCCTCAGTCATTTTTTTTTAAATTCTATTGTCATGTCCTGTGCACATTTGTTTACAAAGGATTGTATAGTTTCAAACAATTAATTTGGCATAGGAAAAATGTTATTTGGGCTATTTGTTTATTCAAGCATGCCATCACATTGTGACGTAGTACAATGAACAAAAAATGCAGCAAGAGCGAGAGACAAAGGTAAATTGTGATCTAAAAGTACTGTAATCACTCATATAGTTATCAATTTGAAATTTTGTCATTTCTCTTTAGAATTCCTTCTCGAATAGGAGCTAATAAAAAAGACTTGTGAAACTAAAAGACGGCAAGAAGCTTGGATTCGTGCAATCAAACGGGAGGACTAGTCTGAAATGCTGACGAAATATGGTCATGTGTATTGTAGACATTTTCACTCACTCTATTAGCTCCTATTGCAGAAGTGAGATGCTGCAGAAGGAATACTAAAGCTAAAGAGATGTGACATCATTTTTGAATGAAAAATGTGTGTGACTACAGTAGTAGATACTTTATCACAATTTACCTGAAATATCTTTATTCTTTCGTTTTTCCCTGCATTTTGGAATGCATGAATAGCCCAAGAAACATGGTTTGTATGTCAATGCCAAAATTGTGAAAAACTATTTCAATCCCTATACCAATAATCACTAATCACGTAACAGGTGTGAAAATCGAAGTTCAGGTTAAAAAAATCAGACATGCATAACAGATCCCCGAAAAACTACATTTTCGATGCTCTAATAATAAATATGTTCCTCATATGTTAGGAACTGACACTGTACATATAAAAAAAATTAAGGCAACATTTCTATATTAAAAAAGGAGAATACAAACTGAATTGTGGATATTGCCTCAAAGTAAAAATTGGGCAGACAGGTAAAACTTTTGACCAACGTATTCACGAACATCACATGAGTTTTTTAAAAAGGAAACAAATCAAATAGGGATTTCCGATAATCATCAATAAAACGAGTTTTATTTGCTTAGATTATGTCACTCATTATTTCTAGAATGAAACAATAATTTCATGTAATATTTTCATTTGCAGTCAGTTATGCAACTAACGATATCGATTACTAGAGACAGGACGCATCAAATATGGTCGCACATCTAGTCCGCACGACTCGCACCGTTACCACCGATACAAGGCCAGCAGACTCTGACGTAAACAGCTCGTGAAGTCAACAAGAGAGAGTTTTTGAAACGGTCCCGATTTCTTTTGTTGTTTATTCATCCAAATAATTGGCGGAAAAATTACTGTTTTGTGAAATATTTTGTGTTGTGATCGGCGAAATAACAATGCCTTTCAAGTGTTGTGTTCCCTTTTGTCGGGGGAATTATGTGGGTGGTTCAAAAGTTCATGCTTTTAGTTTCCCGTTGGACGAGGAGCGAGGATTTTACTCCTTCTAAGTTCAGCAGTAAACAGAGCTTAATTTATAATGAAGAATTAATAATAGAAGACAATTACTCTCTCATAAAAAGTATAAGTAGAGGAAAAATAGAAAAGCTTTGATTGTGCAGTTAGTTTTGTATTCGTATATTATAGTCAACAAAATCATCTCTGAATTCGAGGAAATTTTCTTGAATGTTCATAATAAACGGGCATTTTTAATTCTCATTCTCAAATTTCTTTCTGAAAACGGTCATTTGCCTCGTGGCAATGAATGCAGAATTCATTCCAATGATCAAATTGCAACTATCATATTAACATGAACTACAAACACTCTACTTAAAAAGGTAAAACTGCATTTATCATGATATTTATCATGAAGATATTTGACTAAAAAATTCCAAATTTCACCTTCTTTTTCACCTGTCTTCTGGATGGCATTTAGAACAAATTTCCCTTCGTTTTTCATCATATTGGACAATTTATATATAATTCAACTATAAATATGATTTTTTGAGGTTAATCCATATTTAGTGAAAAGAAGGAAGAATATCATTCAAAATAATGGCGTGTAATGTCATTCGAAAGCAATCTATTGACATTTGACATCTCGTATTTTAAAAGTGTTTAAAAAAAAAAAAAATGTGCCATCGAAGTACATCATGAGTATATAAAGTGTCCAATAACAAAATAAGAGCAAGTAGCTTCAAATGCCCCCAACACAAGGGGAGAAAGAAGGCGAAATTTCGAACTTTTTCTTGAAATATCTCAATAAATAGTGGTTTGCTCACATTTTCATTATAAAATTCGGTTTATCAGACAAAAATACCGAAAAAAAAATTTCAAAAAAAAAACCATCGCATGATAAATGCAGTTTTACCCTTAAAAATTAGGGTTTCAAGTGTAACGATCCACTTGGGTGAAAAATCCAACAACAGAAAATTGAAAACACTCACTGGTTTGTAACAAACGGCATGTCAATCAAAATAAAATACATTTTCCACAATTTTCTTTCGATCAATCTGACGATAAGTTTATGTTCTGCGGGCCCTGTATAAGTAGGTGTGAAGTTTACCTTTACCACAATTTTTGCCAATATATTTAATTCGAATGGGTTGCTGTAGGTGGATATTTGTGTTTTATCCTGGTTCTTGCTTTAAAACTTCGTTTTTCCATAATAAAATCGAATGGGGTGCGAAGAAGGGCTCAGTTGACGACTGGCGTCCTTTTTTAACCGGAAGCCCTTCAAAAAACAGCAAAATCGGCTCAATGATGATCTAAAACTAAAATCGAAATACGCGGTCGCCTTATAGCGCTATAAGCGCTTGTCGTTTCGAGCCGCTGGTTGGGCCTCACTAAGTGACGTCACCCACGGAGCATGCAGGCCTTGTTGTATCGGTGGTAACGAAAACACCCATCGCATGATAAGTGCAAAGTTACCAAACTGAGCTATTGAGCTGCACTGAGAATCTTGGTTAATCTCAGTCAAAGTTGGTAAAAAGAATATTACTAATCTACAGCCGAAACACAAACACATCATGTCTTCGATATTTCAACCAATCAATAACGCGTATTTCGAATAATCACCTGAATCGGGTTCAGTCCGGCATTCTCCGACAGAGTGAACGGAATGATCTCCAACGCGTTGGCGTACGCCCTCGTGCATATCGCGTCGACGCCGTCCAACTTTTGCGCCTGCGCCGCCAACTTCAACGCCACCTCGATCTCGGGCGCGCCCCCGCCCGCTATCAGCGCCCTCTTGCGCACCAGGCACCGGATGACGCAGAGGGCGTCGTGCAACGATCTGTCCGCCTCTTCGAGCACCAGCTTGTTGGACCCTCTGACCAGTAGGGTGATGGTTCGGCCCGCGTTCTGGGCACCTGGAATAGTGATGGGCGAATTCCAATGAAAAATAATTGATCCTTCGATTATTGATATCACTCGAGTACTTAACCAGAAAACATGTTAGAGGAATTGATTGCAAAACTAGGTATAATGAAATTGAAAATTTGATAACGAAACTGACGGAATCATGTAAATTGCAATGTGATATAATATCATTGAATGGCGTTTTCAATACCGACCAAATTCAAAAATTATCAGTAAAAAGTAAATGCAGCAAACGGTGGAAAATCAAAACAATCTTCATATTTTAAACTTTATCATCCGGGTACAGTTTTACATAATTAAAATAAGGGACTAGCTATAAGTACATCCATATGTGTCTATTTTCTCATATTAAAATGTTGTTACATGAATTCTGTTCATTTTTATGACTATATAAATTGACATCCATCTACGACAATGATTGATTTGACAGAAAATCTAAAATCATATCTGACAATCAATCAGGCGCTACTAGGGAAATTGAAAGACAAAGAGCAAAATATATGTCTTATTATTTTATTTACTCAAATCATTGTAATATCCTTATTGTAATATAAAAAAAAGGACAGAAGTTCAGTTGTGTTCGAACTTTTATCTAACTAATGCCAATGACGGCTAAATATCTAGACTTTCTGACGTATTATACATGACTGTCCATTCACTCAGTTCTGTGTATACTCCACCAGAGGGGTTTACTTGCACTCCTTTTTTTATGTTCTGGTTCCCATGAAAAGGGATATCCTGTAATGTTCAGAGAACATCATGAGAAGTCATTTGTTTTCTGTCATTTTGAGCTTTTATTCAGTTGTTTTCCAATTCAGGTCCCTGTGTTCTGTTAAATATCGATTTTAAATTCCTTTACTTTTCCGAATTTTCATTCAATCAAGCGTCCTTTTTTGTGTTTAGTGCTGGTAGTTTATTTATTCAGGTTTACTAGTTGTGTCTTCACCATGTATTTACAGCCTTCTGGCGTGCTTTGAAAATGAATAATCGCATCAAATGTCCGGTTTTCTTCTTCGAATCCAGTGATAAACTCCACAGCAAGAATGGTCGAATTTTATTTTGGAAGGCATCGGTAAGAATTTACATGTACACTTTTTTCGGATGATTTTCAATTTCAGCCTCGATTGCACCATTAGAGCACTGGTGTTAATTCTGGTGTTGAAATTTGTGTCAATGATATTGAAAGACACTATAGAGTGATGATCAATAGCACTACATATGGCAACTCATCAGGATGGGGACATACATTCAGAAAGGATCACTTACCATAATTTTCAAGGTATGTTTAGTCTGCATTGTAGTTGCCTAGCTAGGGTAGGAGTAGTATTGATAGTTGAAAACTGTTTCATGTGAGCCTGATGGTTCAAGCCATTAGTGCAACGCATTCAAACTTAGATTGCCATATACCTACAGGGTGGGCATCCCAAAAAGCAACACCAAGAATGAAAGAGGAATGGAATTTAAGGTATGCTCTTTAAATCCCTGAGAATCATCAGTCTAGGCCAACATTTGGAGTCAGACAGTTTAGATATTTAGCCGTCATTGCTGATATCATCCAGTGACACTAGTGTAAACTAGAGTCACTGGATGGTATTCTAGTGTTAACCAGCGGTCGGCTATGAACTATCAGCCGCGGCAGTCAATCAACTGCTTTGCTGCCTAGTAAAACAAATAACTATTATTTTGAAACATCCCACATTTTCGTGGGATTTGCTGTAAAAAATTGTATTTGTGATTCATAGATTTTGTCAAAGTGGAACATGATTTCGAAATAATGCGACGGTTGTTAAGTATTGATAGTGATTCAGAATGTATGGAAACATCCAGAGTTGTGAGGAATTGAATCAACAGATTTTTTAAATTTAATTTGTGATTTAAATCAAATATTATAAAGCAGTCGCCGAAGCAGATAACTCAACAGGAAATTCAAAATAAGGAACTGTGAATCTAGACAACAAATATTTTTGGGTGAAGAAAAATAAAAAATGATGAAATGAGGAACTTTGAGGTTCATTATCATATTCAAGGAAAAAATCAGGATTTGAGAGTAAAAGTCAGTTTTTTCATAAAAAAAAACCGTGATTTTTTGCAACTCATTAGTACATTTAGTATGATATTTACAGACCTCTAACAAACACTAGAAAACTTTGTAGACCTTCACCAACTTTTATATGAAGCATTTATGTATTTGTTCAAAAAACAAATGTCATACTAGAAGGATATTGGTACACCACTGAAAGCACAAATTATAAATTCATAGAAGATTACAATAATGTGCTAGTGGGCTGATTTATTTTTAATTCTTGTTCTTGATGTTCACACTAATGCTTTCTATTCCATTCTTTTTTCAACAATTTTCACCCAATTTGGTGGATGTAAACAATTTCAGATAGAAAAAGTGCAGTTTATCATATAAATCAAGTGGTTTTTGAAATGACAGATCACAACATCCTTATCACAACACAACTATTGGTATTTTCCTGTCAACAAGATGACGGGGGGGGGGGGGGGGGGGGGTTCTTGGAGTTGAGAAAGATGAATTTCCAGTTGAAATTCGGGAATTCTAAATGACGGAAAAGAGTTTGGATTTTTTTGTCCCATTCTGGAAATTTCCACCTCATGAAGTTTGCAAATTCTAGATGGCAACCTATTTTGTCATTTTTCACCAGTTTCTCCTGAAAATGTATCCTACTTGGGGGTATTCAGGGGCCGAGAATTTTTTATTTTTGTAAAACTGGTGTAGATGAATTTTCCTTAATAAAACAATGGAGTTTACCAATTTGAAGTGAATCTAGGTATAGAAAAATCAATGAGCTTATTCAAAAAAGTACTTCCTCAGAATCCCAAATATTTCAATGAAGACCTCAACATTTTTTGCTTCTCAAAATAATCAACATTGGACCAAGAAGAAGACTGTGGAATTGCATTTTTTCTCCTAATAAACCAACAGGTTTTTGAAAATTTTCTTTGTGAAATTTTGAAAAATTGAAAGAACTGCAACATTTTATTGAAAGTGAGGCTCTAAATTCTCTGATACATCATCTAATTTTTCAAACTATTTCTTGCTGGTTTCTTAAAAAATAAAGATATATTGAAAACATTTATTTCCATGCAAATAACCTCCAGAACCACAATGTCACTTCTTTCATGTAATATAAAATGAAAATTTATAAAAAAAAACTCACCAGTTATCTTGACCATCCTGTTTCCTGCCACCCCCACTTCCTCAACCAGATCAGCACCAACCAAATTTTCAGCAACAAAATGATCCAGAGATGCTATGGGTCTGCATCCCAGAGATTTACAAACAAACTCAACATCTTCTCTTTCAATATCCTTGATGACCATGCACTTGATTTTATCCAAAAAGTGCAAAGCCAAATCAGACACAGCATCTCTCAAGATAGATTTTTGGACCTAAAATACAAACTGTTGAGTCCAAAACAAAAATAAATATCCTCATTCAATCAAATGGATCTCTGTAAGGCCTTTGACACTGTAAATCATAATAGTTTATTGACTAAATTATCATCAATAGGTGTCAGAGGCAAAATTCATGATTGGTTCCAAAGTTATTTGAAGAATAGGAAACAGTATGTTGATGTGAATAATACTTGTAGTTGCTTGATGAATATTACATGTGGTGTACCGCAAGGATCAGTTTTGGGGCCAATTTTATTTTTAATCTATAACAACTCAATATCTACTTTAAAATTGAAAGGAAAACTAAAATTATTTGCAGATGATACAACAATAATGATTTGAAACAAATATCATCTTGGCTAGTGACCAATAAGTTGACTCTTAATTATAGTAAATCTACATATATGTACATCTCAAAAAGAAAAATGAATATATTGAATAATACCCCAATACTTTTCATTAATGAAAAAATTGAATCCTATTGCTGGTATTATATATAAAATTCGAAATTGCATTCCTGTTAAATACCTAAAGAGTATTTATTTCTGTCTTTTTTATTCAAATATACAATATCTAATATATATTTGGGGAAGTACAAATATTTCACGTTTGAAGCCACTCATGAAATTACAAAATAAAACAATTAAGTGCATTTTCAATTTACCTTTTTTAGAATCAACTGTAAATCTATACAAACCTAAAGACTTGCTGAATCTAGTTTCATTATATAAACTCAAAATTTGTTGTTTTATTCATTTTGTCAGGAAGGAATTGAAAATATCGAATTTGAATTTTAATGAAGTTAATACGATTCACGCCCATGAAACAAGGCAATTCAATTTATTGATAGCAAATAATTATAAGTCAAATTTTGGTAAACAATCAATATTCCATAATGGAATAATTTTGTATAACTCCTTACCTAATGAGTTGAAAAATATAGAAGCAGAAAAATTTAAAATGAAATTAAAGAAATATCTGCTCAGTAAACTTTAATTCCATATCTACTAATAGTACTAATCATTCACAATTTGATTACTTGTAATGGATTATGATATTTTCATTTTATATTTTATTATAATTTTTTTTTAGGAAAAACAATAATTGTGCAATTATTATTGTTTCGATTTATTATGTTTTATATGTATGTTTTGTTGTATATATCCCTATTATAAACAATAATGTTTCTTGGAGTAATAAAGACAATCAATCAATCAATCAATCAAATAAATCATCAGGATACTTACTAAGAGGACATTGCACCCTGCCTTTTTGATCTGTTTAACAATATTGAGAATGTAAGTCCTTTCTTCTTTGAGTACTCTGTCCATAGCAGCATAATCAGATACCACTACATTGTGATCCATATCAGTTTTAGGAGGGGAAATGCAGAACTGGATGAAACCAATTTTAGCTTTTTCAATACGCTTTGGCCCAGATACATTTGAAGATCTTTGAGGGAAAACAATTCCATCAATGAGTTCTGTATCCTCCACAGTCCCACCCAACTGTTTGATTACTTTAATGTCTGATAAATTGCAAGCTTGTTCTCTACCTGAAAAAACAACAATAAAAAAATTTACACATGATTTTGAAAACAACACAAGGGTGTTTGATACATGCCTGGTTCAACTATTTTCAGAACAGCATCTACTGCTAATGGTCCCAAAAGACTGGACTGTTGTGATACAACTTTGGAATTGAGAGAAGTTGAGGCACATTTTATCAGCAACTCCCTGTTTGTGATTTCAACAGGAGTGGAAATGCCATCCAAAATCTAACATAAAAACAATAAACATTATATTCATCACCACTTTTATGAATGATCACTTACATCTAAAGCAAGTACTGCTGCCCTTTGGAAAGATTCTGAAATAGCTGTTGGATGGATGCCTCTATGCAGAAGTTTTTCTGCAGCATCTAATAAAGCTCCAGCTATCACTACAACAGATGTTGTGCCATCTCCAGCCTCCACATCTTGGGCTCTTGATAATTCTACCAGCTGTAAATAATGTTTCATGTTCAAAAATACATACATTGTAACTAGTGAAAAATGAAAAGTATGACCTCACCATTTTTGCTGCAGGGTGTATAACATTGATTTGCTTTAGAATGGTTGCTCCATCATTGGTGATAGTTACTTCTCCATTTCCTGATTGGATCTAAAAATGATTACCCAAATTTCACTCCTCAGTTCAGAGACCCTACCCAAAGCTTCATGTATAAAAGATTTTTCCAACTTAAGGCAAAAGCAATATATGAATTTTATGATAGATGATTCAAGTTTGACTCAATTCAATATTACCACTGTATTACCATTTTGTCCATTCCTCTAGGTCCCAAACTCGTACGAATGGCATCACATACAGCTGAAAATCAAATCATTTTGTTGGAATACTTGTACAAATTATTTATTTTGTATGAAAGTAATTTATTCACCTTTTGCGGCATTAATGTTGCTGGTTCTAACATCGGCGGGTTTGCTCTTATCCTTAAAGGCCACAGATCGTCCTTTATTCGAATCACCGGCGCCTGTTGGAGCAGTCATCTTTCTGGTATTTAATTCGGAGTTGATATTGCAAAATTATATCATAAATTCTTGGATGTTTAAGGATATTCTCTTTGAGAAGTTGGAAGTTTGATGGAGATGGTATACGGAATGGAAATAAACAACAGACAAAAACAAATATTATATTCTGTCATTGTCAAATATTGTCATTGTCATTAGTGTCAATAGGATAGGGTCTATGTCACATTCTTCTATTTTTGTGGAGCCATTTTCCATTATAGTAAAGAAGCATATGTTTTCTTCTTCTCCTTATATTTCACAGTGCACCCTTCTGCGACCTAACAATTAGAGACCACTTATTCTATTAGTCTACGTATTCCAAATTCCAAATTTTCATCTGATGAGATTGAGATGGAGTGGGTTTATGTGTTGTGTCTTGTATCAGTTGTGTCCGACTGTCCGGTTATGTCATAAATCTATCTTCCGAAGAAAAGTTTTTCTTTTTATCTATAAATGTCATGTGTCATTCTGTCAGATGTAAGTGAGGTTATGTTATGATGTTTGTTTATAGTTGTTTCTGAGAAAAAGTAAACAGTATTTTTTAAAGCCCTAAGTAATAGATGTTAAGGTCTAATGAGAATTTCGAATTGCTAAAGATATTGTATGTACCATGGAAATTCAGATAGAAACTGCAGTGAAAATCTGCCCTATTGAATATGGAGAAATGGTTTGTGTACAAAGTGATCCCACAACAAATACCATACAACTGAATCAACAATTATATCCTGTGAATTATGCACTACCCATCAGTTGTTGTCAGAGTACAATGTTTTCTAACATTATACCTATGGTAAATTTTTTACTGGAAGGCTGTGATGTTTCCATTGTAACTATAGGTCAGTCAGGAACTGGTAAAACCTATACATTATTTGGACCAGGATTTCATTTTGCAGCTAGTGAGTCAGAGCATGGAGTGGTACCTAGATTTATTCGGGAAATTTTCTCAAAAATTGGTTTATATAGGGATAGAACTTTCACTGTGCACATTACATGGTCCCAAATATATGGAGACAATGTACAAGATCTCCTGGGTGGGGGAAGTATTGAGTGCCTAGGAATTGTAGATGCATTTCAACATATACAAGTTGGGTTATCAAATCTAACACAAAAAGGGGCACATTCCCTATTCACCATCACACTAGAACAACAGTGGACAGTTGATTTCACCATTCATCATAAGGTGTCTACTGCTAGCTTTGCAGATTTGGCAGGAAGTGATAAAATTGTATATGATGGTAATGGATATATACAAACTTTACCAGTAGATCCTGGTCTTCAAGCTCTTCATCACTGTATAATGACATTATCAGAACCATACATAAATAATTTTAGTTTGAATCATGTACCTTATTCTCAATCAGTATTAACAACCTTATTAAGAGATTCATTTGGAGGCAGAGCTAAGACTATGGTGATTTGCTGTATCTCCCCATTACTCAAAGATTTTGTGGAAACATTGTACTCCCTACAGTTGCTTCTACGTTGCCAAGCTATCAAAAATACAGTTACAGTTAATTCCTATACCACATATGAAACTGCCCAGGAGAGCTTTGATGTATTTGGTTTACAGTTTGCAGCAAATCAATTACTCAAGTTGGTATCTAATGCAGAAGAATTATTTCAAAAGCTTGTAGTGAATGGTGGTTTGAATAAGAATGAAATTGAGCAAATTTCACACTGGCTCACTCTGAAACAGGAGTGTGAAGAATGTCTGAGTGAAAATTCAGAACAACACAGGTCCTTGGAGAGAATTGAGGAGGAAATTGAAGACAGTTCAGAAACTGTGAGTGACAGTGAAGAAGTGTTGGAGGAAGAAGAATCTCAATCCCTTTATGAAAAACTAGATGGATTAATGGATAATTTCAAAGTAGCTACTGATAAACTTATTTATAAAGCTAATGTGGTGGAGAGTAATCCTGCCAAGAAGAACAGTCCAACTAGTTCTAATAGTAGTTACTATTTCAATAGTAGTAGATGTAGAAGAGGAAGCATCCATTCTATCAGTTCTATAGATTTACCATTTGCATCACCAACTGAAATGAAACTGATTGAAGAAGATGTGTTTTTACATAATGACCAGAAAAATGATAGTTCCTTATCATATGAAATGAGGAAGAAAGTTCTGAAACAAATAAATAGTGCCATTGAAGGTAGCCAAAAACAAATCAAGAACTTGGAAGAAACTATTAGAGTAAAGGAAAACTTGATGAAACAACTCCTTGAACATAAAGATATCCAATCAAATGCTCTTTTGAAAATAAAACAGAAATGCCAGAAGCTAAAAAAAGAATATGAGACTACCCAAGACAAGATGATTCAAGCACAAACCCAAAAGAATCATTATTTGGAGGGAAAATACAAGACTGAACTAGAGGAAGTAGAAGTTAAACTGAAAGATATTGAATCTCTAAAGAATATAACTGAAGATGAAAGGAAGAAACTTATGCAATTAGAAACTAGTTTGAAGTCATCAAGAAAGCAACTGGAGAAACTAAAGAAACACAGAAAAGAAGAGGAGAAGAGAAAGCACCATTATGAATGTAAAATTGCAGAAGAAACCACTAAATTGAACTTATCTAAAGATAGTAATACCAGTGACAAGAATAAGAAAAGTAGTGATCTCAAGGCTGTAGCTTTAATTTCCCATTCAAGTATTTCAAGCAATGATGAAAAGAGATTGATAGCACCCTTGTCAAGTGAAGAACTAGAGTGTCTAAGACATGAAATCAGAAACTTGAGAAAAACCCGTGACTTCCTCCTTGAAAAAAAATTCAAAATTGATGCCAAGTCAAAGAAAACAAAGATGCTGAATGAAATTGAGGAGAGAAAACTATTTCAGTATGAAGAAGCCATAGAGGGAATAGACTTGGCCATAGAGTACAAGAATGAAATCATTTGTGGTCATCAGCCAGTGAGTGAACAAGCACTGGAAAGGCTGGAGGAACAAGGGGACAAATTGTTGATGGACAGAGTTATGAAGTTAACTGAAAATGAAATGAGAGTCCTCCTGCACAATTATTTTCAGAAGGTAAGTCATATTCAGATTATATTTGTGATGACAATTATAGAGAACTTCAGCTATAGCCTTTTGAGAGAGAAAGTATATGTCTTTCCATTCTGGGCATTCTGTCCTTGTTTTCAGGGTTTCAATGTAATAAAAAAAAATTGTTGGCAACACTAGACATGGAGAAGAAGACCATTCTCTGAATAATTTAATATTTTTTATATTGAGGTTAATATGGTCTCTATTTCTTCCCATCTCTAGTGTATCCAACTAGCAAGTATCCAACATGAAATTTTCATTATTTCACATTGGAACAATGAAAAAAGGATAGATGGGGAGATATATTTTCTTTCTCTGGAAGCTAGCTGTTGATTACCTCATTCCCAAATTTATTGGTGTTTAATTTATGCAAGAAATCTAGGATTCTGCTTGCTTTACATAAAAGGGAGCAACACCACTTCAACCATTTCAAGGTTTCAGTCCTAGCCTATTCATGGTTATTTAATTTTTCACTTGAAGATTTGCAAACTCACAGATCTTGCTAGCTTGAGCAAGCAGAACCAAGCCTTCAATTTGAAAAAAAAAATCGACCATATATCCCATAAATCTGAGGCCATTTTGAGGCAACTTTATTTAGTCAACTACTTATTGATAATTTGATACACATTTTGTGTCTAGTTTTTTTGCAAAAAATACTGCAAGTAAAACCTGAAATCAGCAAAACAGGCTCTGAATGTTTGAATTTTTTTTTCTAGCTCAATCAAGGGCTCAATGATTGGACTACAGAATGCCAAAATATTTATATTAAACAATTGTAAAAACTTTTTGTCCGAAATTCGCGATAGAAAATAACACCTTGCCCCACCTGACGGCAACAACTTGAACACTTCTTAGCGGTTTGTTTCGATGATATAACCAATAAGCACTCACAAGAAAACAAATTTGAACCAATGAAAACAAAGTAAACATGCCGCTTTGACAGCTTTCAAGAACTCTGATAGGTGGCGTACACTTATTATCATCAAAATGTTTAAAATTCTTTTTTTAACAAACGAATTTGATGATAGATATGTTCAAGACATATTATGACTGGTATTAAGGTCATAATAGTTTATACCTGTATCCTCAAGTTGGAATGCTTCAGGGCAATATGTTTTTTCACAATATACAGGGTGAGTCATTAGTGTGGCAAAGTGAGACAACGGCTTTACTGTTTGAGATAGATGAACAAAAATTCCAGAGATAAGCTAGGATCATGAGCAGCATATTCCCAAATTATTTCGCTTTATACAGGGTGACTCAGAAATGCGTTGGCGTATCAAAGTTATACTTTTTCTTATGGGACACCCTGTATTTCATTGCATTTTCGCATTCTCCTTTGTGAGCTGACTTCATCAATGCATCACACTTGGGGTATAGCAGGAATGATTACAGAGATATAGGGTGTTCAAAATCGAGATTTTTCAACTATAGGATTTTTTTGGGTCGAAACTATTCATTATTGGTCAAAACGGCTTTCATGCCCCTATCCCAACTTTCGATTTACTATCTACTGACTGACTTGGAACAAATACAGGGTGGTTCAAGATTCAGCATTCCGATCACCCTTGTAACTGTTCCAATTAAATTTCAGTAGATAGTAAATCAAAAGTTGGAATAGGGACATGAAAGCCGTTTTGATCAATAATGAATATCTTCGACGCAAAACAATCCTAGTTGAAAAATCTCGATTTTCAACACCCTCTATATCTCTGTAATAATTCTCGCTAGAACACAAGTGTGATGTATTGATGAAGTTAGCTCACAAAGGAGAATGCGAAAACGCAATGAAATACAGGGTGTCCCATAAGAAAAAGTATAACTTTGATACGCCACGCATTTCTGAGTCACCCTGGATAAAGCGAAATAATTTGAAAAATATGTACCTTTTATTTCTTGGATATCTTTGATTAGAAATCACTATACAAATATGATGGCATCATTGTGGCATTAGTAAAGGGTTCATCCCTGTTGTACAGGTAATTGATTTGAGGGGTAGCAGTAAAAAGCTGGAACTGCAAGTGACAGAATTCGAATCCCAGAACGAAAATCTAGCCTGTCAAGTACAGAACCTCAGCCATACTTTGCGAAAAGTTCGCTTGGAAGGAGAGAGAAGGATGGTACTGATGCAGCAGCAACACGAAAATAAGATCCACCTGGTTTTGCGCCATCTAGCCAATGATGGAGGCGAATCAGATCAGGTCATACCAAGGGTCATAGGTATGATATTTTTTCTGTTTACTCAATGAGGAAAAAACTCAACTGAGTATTAATTTCCACAAATTCACTTTTGCACATGACAATGGGCGAGTGGACTGATGATAATTATTGGCATTCATTTACTACACTGTGTCCTTAGGAACCCAAATTAATTTTTGCAACAGTTCTCACACTGTTTTTATGTAAAAAATGAGATATGTGATGTTCAAAATTGTTGAACTCCAGAGCTCATTTTAAACGAGCCTACATGGCCATGCCATTTCCACTCATGATGCAAGGTTGTCAAGTCACCAAATATAATCAAGTTATCAGAAAGATATTAGAATCCTGTCGTTGAATAAAAGATAATAGGAGGAACCTATGATATTATAGTTCATTCCTGACTGTTTAAAGCAACTAGCATGTCCAAATATTTCTTATACTCCATAAAAAAATTATCATGTAAATGTTGGAGACTTGGCAACATTGTGCTGAAAACTGACAAGACCACGCCCACAATTAGGAAGTTTCCTATATTGTGGTTCTTATCTCACTGTGAAGTTTGTAAAAAATAATATATACGTATTTTTTCTTTTTTTCCTAAGATCAAATTTCACTTCAGAAAAAAACTAAAAGAGGAACTTGGCTCCTCCACCATTCCTATGACGTACTTTCTGAAAATCCACATTAACACAGAGTTAAAATACGATTCCCTGTGCCAGTACGACGTTGCCGACATCATCAATATGTCTATGTTTGAATGCATAATAACTATATCATAACAGCAATGGGATATAATAGGTTCTTCAATCCTACTTTGTCAAGTATTATGAATAATTCCCATAAATCTCTCATTGGCTGAATGAAGTCGATTACTAATAAAGATAAATTATGATATTTTGCGATAGTATATAATTTTTCACTATCGTTATATTGCAATATGTTATTCATAACTTGTCACTTGTCAGTCATTTTTTGCTAATGAATTCGTTCCTTACTAAAGTTGCAGATTATATCTTGCAACAGCGCCTAATATTTTGAGTCCGTCCACACCACTCAAAATACTGACAGGCACAACAAGAGGAAGGAGCCATGGGTGTCGGCTTCATTCTGTTCTGACCGATGGCAGTAAATTAGGAAGGATAGTATCATTGAATGTAGCCGATAGTGATTCATTGATTCAATGATATTTTCGTGTAGGATCTAGCTCTATTGGAGATATTTCAATGCATAACAAAACCATAACCTGTCAGAATGGAGCCAACTACCCTCTGCATTCCTGCTCCGAGTGCATTCGTGGTCATGTATGTTTTTGTTTAGTTTTACTTTTATTTTTTTCATTCGTTAGCTATATTCTTCAACATCAGCTATTTTCAGAATGTACGTCACACTTTGCCGCCCCGAAAATTACAAATTGCTTCAATTTGAAGACAACTTGGACTCTTTATTCGGTCGCCATTCTGTACAGCGTGGACATAGAACTGGAGAGTTCCAAACTTATTTTATGAAAATTCATCAGAAAAGTTCCCCATTCGGAACATGTTCTCAGCAACAGTTGATCAGCTGGTGAACTTTGTTAGTTGTCAGGTTGTCACTTATACAGGGTGTTCATTTCAGGACTTCCCACCCTAATTTTCTCGAAATGTGTGTATGTTTTTGAAAAATCCCGAGACACGTCAACTACATTTTCGAGGGGGACATGGTTCTAAAATATTTTCTGCCCCGCGGCGTTGCCGCTTCTAACGAAAAGAAGCAACAACTTTGTTATTTCAAATTGGAACACCCTGTATTTTATTGCATTTTTAGATTCTCCCTGAAAAGCTGATTTCATCAATGTATCACACTTGGGGTCTAGCAGGAATGATTACAGAGATATAGGGTGTTCAAAATCGAGATTTTACAACTTTAGGATTTTTTTGAGTCGAAACTATTCATTATTGGTCAATACCGCTTTTATGTCCCTATCTCAACTTTTGATTTACTATCTACTGACATTTATTTGAAACAAATAGAGGGTGGTTCAAGATTCAGACTTTTGATCACCCTGTATTTGTTTCAAATAAATGTCAGTAGATAGTAAATCAAAAGTTGAGATAGGGACATGAAAGCCGTTTTGACCAATAATGAATAGTTTCGACTCAAAAAAACCCTAAAGTTGTAAAATCTCGATTTTGAACACCCTATATCTCTGTAATCATTCCTGCTAGACCCCAAGTGTGATGCATTGATGAAATCAGCTTTTCAGGGAGAATCTAAAAATGCAATAAAATACAGGGTGTTCCATTTGAAATAACAAAGTTGTTGCTTCTTTTCGTTAGAAGCGTCAACGCCGCGGGGCTGAATATATGTTAGAACCATGTCCCCCTCGAAAATGTAGTTGACATGTCTCGGGATTTTTCAAAAACATACACATTTCGAGAAAATTAGGGTGGGAAGTCCTGAAATGAACACCCTGTATATAGTTTCTCGTTCATCTGAAATATATATTATTCTCAGCGTCAATTATTTTAATAACACGAATTTTCTAATATTAAAATTAGAAATATCTTTAGTTTGAAAATGAACACGACTTGGACTTTATCGGTCGCCATTCTGTACATACAGCGTGGACATAAAACTGGAGAGTTCCGAACTTATTTTAATGAAAATTCATCTTGTGGAAACTTCCCCATGGTCCAAATTTTCGATGACGCTGAGGCATAATTGAGGTTCTATGCCGTTAATGTGCCGAATTATCGCATCCTTGAGCTCTTCAATTGTTGCTGGCTTATCGACGAACACCTTGTCTTTCAAATAACCCCATTCGAATTTCCTCTAGTGTGGAATAATCTAATTCCTATCTTCACATAGTTTTCTCTCTCAGCTCTAGCTGATAACACGAATCTGACCACACTAATACCCTTATAGGTGGCAAGCTGCGGCCGGTAGGCGGCACCAGCAAGCAGGTGGGCAAGAACAGCAGTCTCATCACCAGGATCACGAGCATCGCGCGGCACGAGATCGTGCCCAGGCAGCTGCAATCCGTCATTCCTGCGCCGCAGGCGAAGGTCACCAGGCAGAAGAACAAGTTGATCATTCAGCAAACGAATAAGTGAGGACTTGATAGCGAGCGACAATGGTATGTTTCGACTGTGGATGAAATTATGATTCCACTGGAGATTAGGCAACGTGAGGTTATTTCAACAGTTAGTTTCAAAAGTCATATCAAGCTGATATGCAATAATAAAACTGAAGTTTATTGGTTAGAGATGGTTAGAGTGACCCCTGATTTATAGATTCAATAATGTAAGGTAACCCAAGTACTTCCGTTATACAATAGAAGATAACACATAGGATTTTTCCAGTATAGTGGGCCGATTCTCAAATGGCGAATAAAATTCTCGCACATTTTCATTATCAAATTCGTGTTTTTCAGAAAAAATACGTAAGTACCAAAAAAAAAATTTCGGAAAAAAACCCATCGCATGATAAGTGCAAAATTACCGAATACATTTCTACTGTTGATATTTTTCCTGTCTAGACGAGAAATTCATAAAATATTTAAGGTCTATAATATGCTCAGATTTCAGAACCCTATTTTCAACATTTATGTGGAACAATGATACAAATTATAGGGATTTTTTATTTGAATGTACATATTTTGGGTTGACTGCCTTTTTATGTGATATTTATTATACTTACAATTTCTTTGTCTCTCAAAGAATCTGATAGTTTTCTTTAATTATAATAATTGTACTTGTAACTCTACATTGTACTATTCCAACAGAGAATAAATAATATTATCCAGTATTATAATACATTACCCAATCACCAAAATTCAAAGTGAAAAACTGGACATCAGAAAAAAAACATCATATTCCAGTTACTTGTACAACAACTCTTTATTAATCATTATTGAACTAATATAAAATGCTATCTTATTTCATTATATTATTTATTTAGCATTGAATGACATACCAGTAAGTACAAGAAACAGCTTTATAATAGCTTGACGATTCATCTCATACAGGGTGGTACACTTTATTGTAGCGGCACTTCCATGATCCATGGAACTGTTTGTTCAAGAGTTACAGGGCAGGGCATTCAAGTTGAAACAAAACATAGATTTCATTTCAATTTTCAAAAGTCCCTCTACAAAAACTGGATCACCTTGTATTTGAAGGACATATCACATGAAAACAAAACATCAGTGAACATAATTGAAGATTAATTCACTAATTATTCAAAGCACTCAACCTGAACACCCTGATCATGTTTTTGATGAAGTTGGGGGTGTTTCTAGTCTTCAGAGAAGAAATGGCAGATAGAATTCTGGCTTTGTGCTACTGCACAGTTGCAATAATAAAATCTCAATGCTCTACTGCATTTTTGACACCTCAAATCTAGTGGTGACCAGTTCCTCATCTGAATCCAAGATTGGAAGGGCAGGGTCACTCTTGATGTTCTCCTCCAACCATTTAAGGTCATCTTCCACAGAAGCCCTGGGAGGAGTGGAACTTTTGGGGTGATGTACTCTCACTTTAACACCATAGGCATCATTGACTAGATGTTCCTCCTCATCAGCATCATCTCCAGTATCCAGTAATGGCACAAAAGCATAGCGCTGGTTATTGTTTGTGGGTCGCCACAATATCATGATAACCAACAACAGCAGAGAGAAGAGAATGTGCCAGTAGGCTTCCTCAATCCACAGATCTTTCCAAACTGTTAGACAGTCTACAAAGTGGTGCACCTTGATGCAGTACAACCTGAAGAACACTGACGCCACAACCGAGAATATAAGGGTATTTGTAAAGTGCCTGTACAGATTGAGCTTGGTTTCATTCCTCCTCAGTCTCAGAGTTCTTGTTGTGTTGACCAATGCAGAGAATATCCACCAGCATATTGCAGAGTCCAACACTGCCAAGGGCACTGAGGCCACCAAGATATCTCTGGAAGGGTCACTCTTGTCATTGGTGTTCTTTAGGTAAGCCTCTGAAGCTGCCAAGAAGAAATACAAAAGTCCAACACCAACTACTCTATGTAGGGTTGCTCCCAATCTTGGTTTCACTATACCAAATCCTAAGCTCACTATGATTACCAACATCCGTGCTAGTGTTCTCTTAGCACATGATACCCATTCTGCAAAGAGCATGGCTCCCTGTACCCTCACTCCTGTACTGTTGATACTGTGATATTCAGCATAGAATGTAGCTTTCTCCAACATCCCTAACAGGATAACACCACCTATCCAGAACTGTACTCTTAACAAATCTCTCCATTGTAAGAATGAGAGCAAGAGCCACAGCAGACCCAGAATAACATAATAGCCACACATAAATCCATAAAATGGTAGGAAAGGCCAATCAGCAGCTGAAAGGTAGCCATAATCACTTTTCATCTCTACTTGTACCCCTATGGTACTATCAGATGTATTTGTTGTTAATATAAGTCCCAAAACATATATTCCATCATTGTTAATGATATGTAAGGGCTTTTTATCAAATAGTCCTGGGGGCTTATTAGTGGTTGGTTCACTCTCTCTGAAGAAAAAATGGTCATTGCAGTCATAGAGTCCACTATCATGATAGACTTTTGAAGTGTTCAGGAAAGCAGAATTTATTGCCAACTCCTAGAAGAAAATGATTATTCAACACTGAACATCAACAAGAATCTCATTATAAAAATTGAAATGCACACATTACAATGCTACCAGCATTATTATTCACAAAAACCTCTGGACAAAGATGATTATTATTAGAGTTTCTTTGGTATTACCCTTGGCATCCCTTGGTATTACCAGAATAATTTTTGTTGCTATTACTTGAGAGGAACATTGGAAATTTGGATGCCTATTTTATTTTACATAGAAGGAAATGGTTTTTGAACAATAATGGAGTAATCTTCATCATTTCTAGGATTATTGCAAAAATTCATCAGTACTTAAGATAATTCATAATAGAAAATATCATGTCCTTCCACCTGATGGCAGCAACTTGAACACTTCTGAGTGGTTTGTTTAGATGATATGACCAACAAACAAAAAACAAATGTGAACCAATGGAAACAAAGTAAACATGCCGTTTTTGACAGCTTTCAAGAACTCCAATAGATGGCATATGCTTATTTTCTATCAGGTATACAAATTCACAGGTCACCCCACCTGACGGCAATAACTTGAACACTTCTGACTTCTGAGCTGTTTGTTTTTATGATATGACTAAGATGGCTACAATGTGACCAATAAGCACAAAAAACAAATGTGAAGTGTGAACCCATGATACCAAACATGCTGCTTTGACATCATTCAAGAACTCCCATAGAGGGCATTTATTTTCTATTGTGGATTGGGAAATCATGAGGAGATATCTACTGTTGATAACCATTTTAAATTACTCTTTAATATCAACAAATAATAGAGATGATTTCATCTAGGGTCCCTTGATGCAAACTGACTATTTGTCATTAAGATAACAAATACATCAATTTACATCAAGAGATCCTAGTTTCATCCTAAACCAACCATGTCACAATGTTCTGGTAATAAATGTGTTTACTTTGCTAAGGAAATGACTATACTTGATAGAAAGTGGAGCTTACCTTCCTGATTAAATTATATGTATCTGTGGTATCCCAACAGGGCGACTGTATAATTGCCAAATTCAATCCAACTTTAGAATTCTGATTTTTTGAGTCACAATTTACTGAAGAAGGAAAAGGATACAAAAATTTATTTTTTATTTGATTTGTTTTTGAATGATCATACTCACTTCTAATGTATACTTGAGAACCTTTGAACAAACTCTTCGACAGATATATACTCTTGTCTGTCTAAAATTGAAGATTTTTCAAGTAAAAAAGCAATTTGATTGAAATATACAACTCACAGAGGTTAAATTATAGTTCCATTTGCCTTCATCGGAGGGTAAGGCCTTTACGGTCCAAATAAATACGCTGAAATAAATCGTCAAGTATTGGAATATCATATTAAGATATTCCAAATCGAATATTTTTTTATTTGAATTTTTTTTAATACACAAATCTCATTTTCACGTCTCAAGTTTCAACCCATCGGTAATTTGCACAAGATTTGCACACCTTTTTTTTTATTTTCAAGTGACTGACAAGTGACAACTGACCGAAACTGTCATTAGACTCTCAGAAGAAGGAGAAACTTGGAGTATATTGACATAGTACATAGTCTTTGGTCCCACAAATCAAGGAATTGTAACACTTGCTCCTAACCCCTTTTGCCCTTACAGCACTTAACACTTCTTAACCACACCACAGAACTAAAACTGCCTGTTACGACTGTGACGAAGGGTGCGTTTTTCATTCCAACATTTTATCATGCGCATGAATCGAAGTAACCATCAAACTGTTGCAAAATTCCGCTAGAATGTTGATGGACATCCATCAAACTTCTGTAATAAAATGCGCACTTTTAAATCGCATTTCGAGAATCCAGCAGTTTGGAGGAGATTGACATGACATTTTAGTGTTGTTTTTTGTTTTGATTTGATAGAAAACAATTAATATTGAGGATTTTTGAGATTCTTGAGAGATTTTAGAAGAAAGAGTCATAAAGTCGAATTAGCCTTTTCTGATTCTCAAGATACATGATGACTGACACACAACAAAATCCGTGTTGTATAAACTATTGTTCAATTTCCATGATACTAAAACCTCTTGGTTTTAGTATCATGATCTATTTCTGTGTTAAGCGGATAATTATGTGTAAATGTTCTCTATTTATGTCATTATGTCATAAGTTCTGTGTGATTTCTGCCTCATTCCTGCACAGAACATTCCTTTCGAAAGGGTTTGACAAGAATGACATTCAGAATGTCAACTGTCAGATATTTCTGGTCTATTACCTTTTTATACAAATCTGGTATCTTTTTCCTCAGAAAGGAAAATCTATTACGAAAAAATCAGACTCTGGAACAACACTGGTTACGAGTAGAGTTCCTAAATGTACTTGACACTGCTGTTTTGACGTTTTTTCCTTTTTTTGCAGTGTCAAGTACATTTAGGAACTCTAGTCACGATTGGTTATGTATGTGAAGATGAGAGGATGCGGAATTTAAGGATATGTTCCAAAAGTAACCAGTTGCTAACCTAACCTAACCAGAAATTTGACAGCGGTTATCTGAAGAATTTATTATTGCTGGTTACTTTAGGAACACTATGGTGACATTTGTGACCGTTGTGACGAAAAATGACAATTAACAATAACAATTATGTACAAAGAAAAATAGCTGAATAGACGAAGTTTAAAATTTTATAAAAGTTTCAAAAATGAATTACGAAGTATGTGGATTCTTTTTTCAAGAATTACTTTTGACATCAGACGAGTCGTCAGAGGAAGACGAAAATCATAGAGGACCCCTAGTTCTCAAGCCAAAAATTAGAAATTTTGTGGAAGAGGTTGTAGATTCTTATACTGATGGAGAGTTCAGAAAACATTTCAGAATGTACAGATCCACATTCAACCATCTGCTCTCTGTTCTCGAAAATAAAATATTAGGTGAAAATATAATTGGCAGACACCCACTTTCAGCGAAAGAACATCTTTTACTGGCTCTCACCTATTTTTCAACTCCAGAAAGTTACAGGTATGGTATCATTCATTTGTATCTTGGGAAAATCTTAGAACCTATTTTGTATGATAATTTATTATACTCAAACTTGTTCAGAACTTATCAGACATGACTAAATGGGGTAAAAACATTCCCCAGATCCTGTCTCATCAAACTGAATGTTGAAAAACTTGCTGATTTTTCAAAAGTACGTTTATTTTCAGATCAATATCTCGCAGCTTCAATGTAGGTAAAGCCACTGGTTTACGAGCAGTGAGGAAAGTAACAATGGCAATTCTAGAGCTGGCACCAAGTTATATCAAATGGCCAAGTGGAGATTACGTTCAGAGGGTTCAAACTCATTTTAATGATATGGGTTTTCCAAACACAGTAGGGATTATTGATGGCTGCTATATTCCAATAAGTCAACCTAAACAAAATGGAATTTCTTATATAACAAGAAAGAACTTTCCAGCATCGATTCTCCAGGTAAGATAGATTACAATTTATTATTACAATTTATTTGAGTTAAGTAGTTTCAACTTGAATGTTTCAGGCTGTATGTGACCATAGAATGTTATTCACTCATTGCTATATGCAGGAGAAGTCGGTTCAACTCATGATTCCAATGTTTTGAAGAGAAGTGAGGTGTTTGAGTATTTAACTACTTTGAGAGAAGAAAAATTTCCACATGACTCACATCTACTTGGAGATAAAGCTTATCCATGTCTGCAAACTTTGATGGTACCTTTCAAAGATAATGGCCATCTTACAGAGCCCCAAAGAAGATTCAACTATAATCTTTCGAAATCAAGATCCACAATAGAAAGAGCTTTTGCCTTACTCAAAAGAAGATTTCGAGGATTGAAATATTTTGAAATGAAATGTGTAGAATGGACCTGCAAGTATATAATGGCTTGTTGTATACTTCACAATATCTGTATTATTCAAAATGATATAATTAATGTGAATAATGTTGAAATAGATGATATAGATGATGATAATAATCCTATAAACGAAGCAGTATATTCAGCTTTACAGAGAGTAGGAGTAAGAAAACGAGAATATATAATGAATGGGATGATTTAATAAATATTCAATAAAATAACCAAATACTTTTATTTCAAACCCACATGAGAAAATAACAGTCTAATCTTCCATGTTCTAAACACGAACTAAATCATATTTCATAGGAAATGAAAAATCACAATGATCTTTGGAACAAAAACTATGTTCTCCAACACTAAAAACTGAAGTAAACATCTCTAAGAAAAAAATAAAATATATTATGATCAGTTCATCAGGTGATTTTTTCAAGAGAATGTAGCACTAGCTGCTTTAGTTGTTACCTTCTTTTGGCCTATTCGATCCAAAATTTTCCTTGAACCAACTGAACATTTCAGCCTTCATTTTCATTTTTTCTTCATGACGTTGCTGTCGTCTGTCTTCAATTTGGGCAGAAGTTAGGGTTTTACTTTCTTTAGCTTTCTCTACCTTGCGTTTCTTGGCAAGTTGTTCCTCCGAACCAGATTCTATTGGCACATCTTCAGATATTTTTGGAGCTATACTGGTTTTTATTGACCCTGTACTGGACACTGATGTACATAGTGGATTGAAATGTGGGTCATGAAAATATATTTCATGGAAATCGTCAAAATATCTCCAATATGAATTAGAATTTCCAGTTAATTTCTTATCTTTAAGAACCTTATCATAAGTTTTTTTCATATTCCTCCATTTTTCATCACATTTCAATGCAGATTTATTTGTTCCCAACTCTTTCAATCTCTCACTAATGATGTTCCATACATTCTTTTTGTTGTACATTGGAGATAAAAATTTATGTTTATGCTCTGTGTAGAGGCATATCAGAAGCTTGGTCTCCTGGTCTGACCAATTATTAGTGTCCTCTTTTCTATCAGAAGAAGGCTTGGTAGAACTTCCGCTACTACTAGCCTTGTTCTCTCTATCAGTTTTATTTATTTCTTTACAAGGTTCAGCAGGAGGCTTGGTAGAACTTCCACTGCTACTAGCATTGTTATTTCTATCAGTTTCAATTCTTTCTGCACAAGGTTTGAGAGAACTTCCCCAAATTTTATGTGTTTCCATGTCGACATTTAAATCATCATACGATTTTAAACATATGTGAGAAATACATGAGGCAGCCATCAGATTTGCCAGTGTGCCCAATTCTTCCTGGCAATAACCACAAAAACACATATCTTTAGTCAGTTCAAGATCCTAAAAGACAATCGCAATTAATGATATACGTACTTATATGTAATTAAAAGAAAAAGTACCATAGTGAAATACTGCAACAACAATCCATAAATATTGCACAAAGATGGGCAATCGGCCTCAAGCTAGCCTCAAATAACAAATAACAACAAAAACAGTTTTCCTTTTCCATTTGTCACCTGTCAATCTCACCTCTCACCCATCTCTCACCGTAACAGAAGCATTGGTTAGTGAATTGACGTTTGGTTCACCAGCTTTCAGGTAACCATGTTTCAAATGTCACCACTTTTTCAGTATCACCGATCTAGCGGGGATTTTCGGAACACCTAACCGCATTTCCGGTGACTTTTGGAACATATCCTAAATAAATAATAGAAATATAGAAATGTAGTGAAATTGGATGAATTATTCAGCGATGGATAGTTATTTATAGTGGATCGTTTTTGAATCAATCAGTGTATTTAGGGATTGTAATATTGATTTGCTTTTATTTTTTGCCAAAATGGATAATGTGGGAGCTGAAGTTGGTCAAAAAATGAGGGTGAGTATTTGTGGTCATGAAATAATATCTATAGTCATTGAAACATTTTTTAGTCAGCTATAAAGGCCAAACTCCTTGAGCTGAATTGTTATGTGGGTAAGTTTTCTTTAAAATTAAATAGAGGCTCTGTATCCTCTGGGAGGCTGTCTTTAAAATGCCTCTGAAGATCACTGACCTATGTGTGATTTGTGAACTTCGTAAATATAATCCAATACCCCCCAAGCATAGTTCCAAGTTTATTCTCTTGAATGGCAATAAAATCTTGGTTTGTGATACCACAGTATATTACCTTGTCATTAGAAAGGATAATATACTGTGGTGGTACTTACTTTTCGTTTATATAATATAGGAGCAAAGATATTGTGGAAAAATTAGAATATTATACTATCACTCAAATTGTAGGGCATACCAACTAGTGATGAGATTAAAAATGAATCATGGATTTATATGGTTTTATATCAAATCAACCAGTTGAAACATAATCAGACTATTTTCAGATGATGAGTTGCCTGACTATATCATGGTTATGGTGGCAAATAAAAGGAGCAAATCCCAAATGAATGAAGACCTGAACTTATTTCTAAATACAAAAACCTCTACTTTTGTGGAATGGTTACATATTGTCTTGAAAAAATTGAAGGAAGTAACAGTAACAAATCCAGAAGTCTACAAAAAGGTGGCAAGAAGAAAATCTAGTGATCAACCTGATGCAAAAGTTAAAAAAGAAAAGAAGGATAAGAATAAATCTTCTGAGAAAGTAGATGAGAACATCAAAGAAGAGAAGGATGCAAATGAATCTTTAACAGATAATTTACCAGTCAGTGCAAACAGGTTATCAGAGCAAAGGAAAATAACAATTCTTCACTCAGAAACTAGAAATGAAGATAATGTTGATGAATTTGATATACCTTTACTTTCAGCAGTGAATACATCCACTGAGAAAGACTTGGAAGATATTGAGAGAAAAATAAAGAATGTCAAAAGTAGACTGGGCATTCTAGTGGATAGTGAATTGGAAGCAGAGATACAGAAGATCAAATCTGAGCAAGGTAAACATGCACATATTATAGTTTCTAGAGTTCATAGTTTTCAAATCAATGAATTAAAATTTGAAAGATACTATTTGAGCTTTTTTAACATGATTTTTTTGAGAAAAGTAACATACAAAAATCTATCTGCATGTGTCTTTCAAACAAATTATATGTCTATCCTGGTGGTCCTGACCAAACTTTGTCAGGAGCTTTGTCATATTTGATTGAGATGAGTGGATGTTGGGTTGGATGAGTTTTTGTTTTCTTTATTATTATTATATTAATATAAATATACATATAAAATTTAATGTTGAATTCTTTGAAATTCCTGTTTTCTTTTTATTTATCCCACTGTTTATTCAATGCAATATAATATTCTTTAGACAATGGCATTGGTACATAATGCTTCTGAATTTCTGAGAGCATCTTGTACAGGGTGAGTTATAACTATTGGGACATAGGCTAAGGGTGTAATTGTTTTGACCAATATATGACAATAGGACCAAATATGCCTTGATGAAATATTGCTGTGGAAAAAGATAGTTTATTCACTGACAAAAAAATTTTATTTACCAGCAAAGATTATCTGACAGTTGGAAGCAAACTCTTCATAAATGAAACAATATTCAAAATCCCTTACTGAGACTTTTAACTGTTCAATTGCATTTTTCTTGTAAACAGATGGAAGTATCCTGTTTATACAAGAGAACCAATGTTTCATAAAAATTATGTCATATTTTGTTATCAAAAACACTCAAAAGTTTCCTCAAAGAAGTTACCAGTTGATTTCATTATCAGTTATCATTCACGTGGCGCCATCTATAACAGACCGTAGAATAATACATAAATTAATATTCCCTGTATAAAATTATGCCTCTGTGCCGATTTTGACAACAATTGATGAATGTACAGTGAAATTACTATCAAAAAACGAAGAAACAACAACTTTGATGCCCTGTATCTTTTTCCACAGTAATATTTTCACAAGGTATATTTGCTCCTATCACCATATTTTCGTCTATACAATCTGCCCTATGCCTATGTCCCAATAGTTATGATTCACCCTGTATATTTGTATTCATTCCTTGATTATACTCAGAGATTCATTCCAGGAAAACTTTTCATTAATTTAAAATAATCATTTATGTTATGTTACTCGAGAGAGGAACATACAGCTTCTGTCTTTTGTGACCTTAGTAAAGCCTTGGACTGTGTATCTCACAGAATATTTGTTGAAAAGTTGCCTAGTTATGGTTTTGGCATTAACAGCATAATGTTATTAGAAAATTACCTGAAGAATCGTAAACAATCTGTCTTACTTAATGAAAATATATCACAACAATTAGTAATCGAAAATGGAGTACCACAAAGCTCTATTTCAGGGCCTGTGCTATTCCTCATATATATTAACGACTTTCCAATGGCGATGCATAACTTGAGATGTTGTACTCTCTATGCGGATAATACCACTTATCTCTACAAGTGGAGCCGAACAAGACAATCTTCTGATACCATGTGAAGATATACAGTCGATGGCTGCCGCATGGTTTGCATCAAACAAACTAGCTCTGAATCAGACAAAGACAGTAACATATCATCAACAAAAGATCTGACCCACCAATCTGAAAACCCGAATTTTGTGAAGTTCCTGGGAATATACATAGATTCAAATCAACTATGGGATGTCCAGGGTAATAACCTAGCAACATCATTAACCAGAACTATATATGCTCTGAGACAACTTACATTCAAAACGTCTGAACATATCCTACTATCCCAGCCAACCATGAGATGTATAAGTGATGTATACGCAACATCACTTTGTGACATGCGATATCGCATTTGAAGTCACAAACATGTTACCGATACCACGTGGCGATGTGAAAATGTCCGACTCGAGCAACATCACTGTGACGTCGTTCAGACATGAAATGGGACATCACATGAAAAATCACTACCAGGTCACACACAAGTGTACATTTCATATTACAAATACATCACACTGCGACATCGATGATGTGGTCGCCGTACCTGTGATATTCGTGGGATATATAATAATCACCCTAATTAGTAATCTTGAAGTAAAACATGACACATATATATAGCAATACAAATATACATTATTCATAAATGATACATATCAAATACACTTACATTATCTTGGGATCTTTCATCCACCTTGTTTTAGATTGCAATATTCCTTTCTCAGAGATAATTACAATATTACCTATTGTGATTGAACTCACCGTCGTTCTTTAATGATTGTATACCTCCAATTTGAAGCTGCTATAATAAGTGCTATAAATCATCTCAGATATTTCAACAGAGAATTTGGAAGAGGAAATAGTCTGGACGGAGTTGGACTCACTCACTGACTGACTGACTGACTGACTGGCATGACCATGCACAGCTCAACATGGCGTCTGGCGTGTGCGTTCGTTTTGCGCATGTCTGCGTCACACTCACAGGTCACAAAGATATCTCATGAGGATATCAATGTGAATTATTTAGTTAACGTCGAAGAGATGTAGTTTGAAGAAGTCGCTGCCACATTACATAGTTTCCTGGTTGCGATGACGATGACACCTTGCGACGTTGATATCGAATCTACGTCGATAAGATGTGCTAACGAGATATTGCATTTATGCAAGAGGTTGTTACATCACACAGATGTTGATGTCACACGATGGTTGGCTGGGTAACAGCATATTTGCGCTATTCCACTCGAGAACGATATATGGAATACTCGCTCTGGGACATGCGACAATTGGCATAGAATCTATCAGCTCCAAAAAAAAGCTGTTAGAATCGTGGGAGGAGTGGGCTATCGTGCTGATGTTAAGAATATATTCATACAGCAAAAAATATTCACTTTACCTTGTGTTTATATTTTGGAATGTCTAACATTTGTAAAAAATAACCCTGATAGATTTACGTTGCATAAAAAAATCATGATTACAATCCGAAATATAGAAATCACATTTATCCAAATTTATTACACCTGAACAGATCAAAGACTGGAACCTCTTACTATGTTTTGTTGACCTACAATAACTTCAACGAAGATATTAAATACTTGAGTATGCCTCGTTTCAGATCTGTAATAAAATCGTTTTTGCTGAAGAATGCTTTTCAAAATATTCAAGATATTATTCCATTAGAAATTTGAGAATCTGATACTAGTTCTGTATAGTGTACTATTTGTTACTTATATACTTTTATCTTTTTACAATATTTTGTGATGTGTTTTATGTATTGCAAAATGTTTTTTTTGACGATGTAAGATTTCTTGTAAATTTTTAAACAGAATATACCGGGTGGCTACGGATGTATTGCCTACGAAATATCTCAGTTATTGTATGAAGTAGGTTTGTGAAATTTGGAGCGTCGATATAATGACATAAGAGCTAGAATTTGAGCATATTGACATGTCGAAGTTAACTTCCGGTCTGACCGGAAGTAACATCAACTTTCTTATTTCAAATGGAAACCCTATTTTTTTTTTATTTCGCTTTATTCAGCATTCAATTCCCTTTCTAATGACATAAATAAATCTGTTTTTTTGTTATTTGAAGAATAATGATTGGATTTTTTGGTATTTCATTTCAAAAAATGACTTTCTATTATATCATTAGAAAGGAATGGTTATGCTGAATAGTACAGGCAAGAAAAAGTTGTATGTTCCTATTTAAGTTATGGACCTACGGAGTATTGTTTTTTTCCCAATTTTTCCAATATTTTTTTTGGCGGCTTTTTATAACGCCGACGAATGAAAATAAAATATCACAGTAGTAGCAACTGTTATCAAGTGACGTATGGTTTCCATAGCCAACTTTTCAATTGTTGGCTTTCATTTTGCTTCCACGACCTACTCGGTGAATTTCAATAATAATTTTTTTCTGATCTAGTTTCTGGTTAGATACCAACTTGTGATATGTCATTAGAAAGGGAATCGAATGCTGAATGAAGCGAAGAGAAGGAAAAATAGGGTTTCCATTTAAAATAAGAAAGTTGATGTTACTTCCGGTCAGACCGGAAGTTAACTTCGACATGTCAATATGCTCAAATTCTAGCTCTTATGTCATTATATCGACGCTCCAAATTTCACAAACCTACTTCATACAATAACTGAGATATTCCGTAGGCAATACTTCCGTAGCCACGTATATACTACTACTACTATTAATAATTTTACTGGTGAATTTCAATAAAATTATCCCTGTAATTTCTTGTCAGATAAACTAGAAAAAGAAAAAATCCAGCAAAACAGCATCAATGAAGAATTTGCAAGTCAAAGAATCGTTGAATTGCAGACTGATGATGACAATGAATTGCCCACCCAGGCAGAAGAACCACAAGAGGCATTCTCAACTCCTCCCAGATTAACCCTCACAACAGAGCCGGAAATGGAACCCAGTTTCACACCCGAAAAGAACCGGAAATACACGCCGATCACCTTTGAAGAGAAATCACCCCCGAAAACTCCAAAAAGGGTGTCAGTTTTGGACAGGTTGGGAAAGAGGGCCAATGATGATGATTCAAGGCGGAACAGATTGAACATTTCAGAGTTCAGGAAAGATGAGTCTTTCATGAGGTACCCTAGAGAAAATGGGTCTGATAGAAATAGGGATAGAGATGATAATAGAAGGTACAAAAAAGATAGAAGAAGGATAGATGATAAAGGAGTAGAAGAGAGAATTAGAGAAAGAAAAACATCCACAAAGAGAAGACATTCACCAGTGGTGGATGCTAGATCAGAAGTTAAAAAAGCAGAAAATAAAGTAAGTTATCTTTATTTTTATTCATCTTTTTTCAATATTCCACTTGAAAAAATCCAAGCCAAAAGAGAAACATCTACAAAAATGATTTGTTACTTTTCTCCAATATAAATCCTCAAAAAACTTGAGAAAAAGAAAAGTGATATTTTTTTGCTAAATAGCAGAAGGTATCAAAATTTTTCATGATATTTCCCATACTTCTTGAAGTTGAAAATAATGATAATAGTAAACCAAATAAAAAATGACTATAATTATGTAGTACCTAATACCAAAATTAAATGATGGATCACCTGATTATAACCCAGCGAGCACAAAACCATCTCAGAGATGTTACAAGTTCGATATTTCGAGACATTGAACCTCCGCTGCGATTTTCTGTTCACACATGAATAGAACTATTATCTCGACTATTATAGAACAGCCAATGTCCGCCGCAGGCGGCAATTATCGAGATGTCCTTGATATGTCACAAAACTACCTTCTCCCTAGTTCTTTTTAAAGCCTTTTCATGGACACAACAAAACATTCTCAGTCTTGCGCACATTAAATCGCTGTAAAAAAAACATTTTCGAGGTACTTTTCTGAAGCCTTTTGTCAAAATGAACTTTTGCATTAGGATTCCATTTCCCTTGGATGAAAAAATGCCTTAAAAATAGATTGAACATAAAAATATTTTCTTGATATGAAATTACCTTCTTAATCGGTTTCTGAGTAGTGCTTACTACACACAGACATATAATTGGAAATAGGTTTCCCAATTTTTGAAATGTTCTCCACAATGCACATTCATCATCTGAACAACATAATTGGACGAGAGGTTTTGATCTAAAGTGATCCCTTAAAACTTAACATCACTATATGAGTGTTGCAAAGACAGTATTCATCTTGTCGAACTTCTAGGTCATCAATATTTTTCTAACGACAATGAATTCGTAACATTTGTGTTTTATGAATATTTGAAATCAATATGTACTGAACCGATTCGGAAAGTATCATCTTTCTTCAACTGTAGAGACTTATTTTTCAATATTCATAAGTCGGAAGTCGTCTGCATATGCAGTGTAATTTTCTGTTTCAATAATGGAATCCAAATGGTTTACATATCAAATGAAGATAATAAAACCTGTATGCTGGTGATTTCATTCACAATCTCTATAACGCCACTTCATTTGCCAATAGGTCATTTGCCATCAATGACTAATTTTGAGACAAAGTTAAGAAAGCTGGGTGAAATGGGAAAATAAGAGCAAAAATAACAAATTATGAAAATTCGTCATGGTCATCACCAAATATACATTTGAAAAACAAATCCTGAATACAACCTATTTTTCTCAGAGTGCACTCAGTAGATTAGGAGTAATGTCGAAAATCCACGTGCCCCAAAAAGAAGCTGAAGTTTCTGAACCCGAGGATGAACTGAAAACTAGAGAAGTCCGCAGCATGGTTCAGGTGAAACCTAGAGTGTTGCCTGCAGATAGCCAACAACCGAATAAAAATTTATTGTTGAAAGCTGTGGCAGAGGCACACAGAAGTGTGGCACAGGCTGCCAGAGTTGGGAATAGGCAGGTAAAGGCAACAATGAAATGAGGTGTCTTTTGTCAAAAAATGAAATTTCATTTCTCTCAAATTTCATTGTACTGGGACAACCAGTAGATTTTTTTATTAATATCCTAACTATCTAACTCATAGTTCATAGTGTTGTTGAATGTTTCTTTGTTTTAAGTTTGAAAGGGGTACAAAGAGAAAATTTGAGGATGACAAGGATGATAATGTACCTTACACTCGAAAGTTATCCCAGAGTGAGAAACAAAAACTCAGAAATCTAATTTTGGCACAAGTATCTCTGGAGTCCAGTGACAGCGAATTGGAAGACAAAGAATATGTGCCAAAACCATTAAAGAAAGTATCTGTGGAAACACCTAAATATGTGCCCTCTTCCAGAAAATCTGTAGAAGGTAAGGGGAGGAAACATGTAGTTACACAATCAGTAATGATAGCATTCTCGTATATTCTATTTATTGACATGCTTCTGGAATCATTTTGCTTATTTTTTACCAGATTTCATTTTTCATGATCCTCACACTTATGCTTTCAATTTATCTAACATTTTTTGAATGGTTTTGATGTCTCAAAATGAGACACAGTTTCATTCAAATGATGGAAATTTACCACTCAAAGCTACTGACGTCACTACCCAGTGGGTGAAGTGCATAGTTGCCAGATTCAATTGGGTCATTGGGTGGTTTTTTAATTTCAAAAATCTCTCAGAGAGGTCAGAAAAGGCTCTGAATTTCATATGTCAAATCATATATTTTTGTTTCTACAAACTTATTCTATGATTCTCTCTCGACAATTCGACATTTATTATTTATATGTTGTTTATTATAGGTTCTGGAACAGACGACAAGGAGCCTGAAAAACAGGCACGAGTAACACTTGAGGGTTTCGAAAAAAGACTTGGAGTTGTTAAAGATCAAAAAAATAATAACATTGAAGTTGTAGAATCGGAACAATTATCTACGACGAGACCATCAGCTAAATCCAGACTAGAAGGGAGACGATCTCCATCTCCTATCATATTTGATAAAATCAAAATAAAAGTTAGTAACATTTCACTAAAAAAGTACCTTTGTAACAATATTAAAATATGAATGAGTATGGTTGAACCATTATGGTAGAACAATTTATTCAGGTTGCAGTTCATATATCGATTACATAATGAAACACCCTGTATACCTCTACTGGATTCATCTTGAATCTCTTTAGTCTGAGGATTATCTTACGACCGGCTTGAAAAAAAATTGATCTCATGTGACAAATACACTTAGTTTGTGTGGCTTCCTTTTGTGTCTAGAAAGTCATGGTAATCTGTTCTCAATACCTCAACAAATTGACACTTTTTCCGGCTGCATAGAGAAAAACGCCCCGTTTACAAGAATTTTCGCAAAAAAACAACGTTGGTAGACTGGGGCTATATTCTGAATTCAACTGCAGACAGTGTCAGTATTTACCACCGACTTAACCTACTATCTATCTCGCTATTCATAATTAACGTCATATGCCAGCAACCCGAAAATCACATGCAAATTGCTCGCCCGAAAACGCTCCTGCTCAATGCGCAGAATTATCCAAACTGTTATTCATGACATCAACTTATGTTACTGGGTGTTCACAAACATGAGGAGTGAATAAGATATATGACTTGAATACTCAAGCTCCATTGGAACAAGTTCGATCTCGTAAATGAATGAGCTTTTGATCTTACGGCATACATGACAGGAACCAGGAACTATAAATGCGCCTTATCTGAGGATACAAAAGATTTTCCATGGCTATCTATATGTGTTGATAAATTGACCAGAGGAGCTTCAGATCTTCTGAACAGAATGTATATTCACGGAGATGAACTCCTATTTAGACCACTAATGCCATGATAAGGAAGCTATGCCACTCACGTGATTGAACTGGGCATATGAATCATGCGTATTTAATATCATATATCTTACTCATTCTACTCATGTTCCTGATGCGCATTCAGCGTTTTCAGGCAAGAAATATGGATGAGCTTATCAGGTTGCTGAGATATGATATATTATAGCGGTCTGTATACTGCATTTATTCACTAAGGATAGCTTGCACAAGGTAAACCGTTTATAAAATACAACGAAGCCTGTCTTGTTCTGATACTCTGATCCTAATGACTAACTGCGCAACAATCAGTTCAATCGCATGATGATTTCCAAACCGATGAATCGTCTGCTTGTGATAACGACATTCCTTATGCGTTCTATTCATTTACGGAGTGATTTGAACTTCGTGGCTGACAGTATAGTAATTATGTCAGTATGTAAATCTGCACGATATACAACAATTTCAGGTCATAAAAATATGTCCCTCACTTCATTTAACACATTTTGGTGGAAAGTAACTCCAGCAGAAATCTATGCCGAAAGTATCCTATCACTTTCAGTGCATTTCATTGAATTCAAAATAGGAAATCAGCAGATTCAGTACCAGTATACTGACAGATGAATTCGAAATTATAGGTACCATTCATTAGACTCGTCAAAAACAACTCCTATTCCAGGTATCCAGGGAACCAAACGTCCCCGACAAACTACCCGTCGTGCACACCCCTCTCTCCATCAAGAACAAGGAGCGCTGCAAATACTGGCCCAGCTGCCGCCAGAGCGACAAATGCGAGTTCGTCCACCCGAGCAGGACCTGCGAAACCTTCCCCAGCTGCAAATTCGGCGACAAGTGCATCTATCTGCATCCGAGCTGCAAGTTCGGCTCGTCCTGCACCAAACGAGGCTGCCCTTACAGCCACGCGGGCGGCTCTTATAGCCTCGCGGGCGGCCCTGCGCCCCTGGGAAAGCTGCCCGTGGCGAAGCCGAGCGTGTGCAAGTTTTTCCCCAAGTGCATAAATATTAATTGTCCGTTTTTTCATCCGAGGATGTGCAGGTTCGGGAAGTTTTGCAAGAATTTGGGGGAGTGCAGCTTTGTGCATGCGGGGGTTGTCAGTAAGGGTAGTCTCACTTGGAGGCCCAAGTGATTGGAAGGGACGCTTACTGTGTTTGTTGAGGATTGATTGGAATAATTTTGTAAATATACCTACATGTTAGTGAAAACTGTTGGAGCTACAGAAAATGGAATTTGATTTGGTCAACGACATGCTATAGGTAAACGATGAACGTGGAAGATTGTTAGGAATGTTGTGGTTTTCAATGACAGTTCCGAGTAGGTACCTAAAAGGTACCTACCTATAAAATTATGTAAGTAGTCAAAATGAGTAACAACATTATAATTGGAAATTATATTTCTATGATATGAATAAACTGAGTCTTACTCATTCATTCCTGTTTAAATATCTTTGGTAAGTACCTACCCTGGGATGTTTTGCTATGATTCAGAGATTGAACATCATTTCTGTTCTGTCTTGACAAAAAGGAGTGATTATTTTGTCATATTTCTGTATATTTTTCACTTGAACTTAGAGCACAGCTTACCAAACAAATTAGAGATTAATGGTCTGAGAAAACCAAATGGGCGAGTGGACTGATCATGAATTATTGGCATTCAATTACTCCATTGTGTCTCTAGGAACCTAAATTAATTTCAGCAACACTTTCGGAGCTCATTTCAAACGTAAGGTCATGGCCGCCATTTAGCGATACGTCGAATAAATGGTGATGTCAATTTTTATGCTGTTTCATTAGTGGTCAGATAATCTTCCATTTCCACTCATGAAGCAAGGTTGTAAAGTCACCAATTATAATCAAGTTATAAAAAAGATGTTTAAGTCATATCTTTGAATAAAATATAATAGGAGGAACTCGCATGACATTATAGTTCATTCTTGACTTCTTGGAACAATGAGCATGTCCAAATATCTCTCATTCTCCATGATAGGATATCATGTAAATGTTGAAGACTTGTCAACATTGTGCTGAATGCTGATAACTGACAAGACCACGCCCACGAGTCGTGCGCGGGGTTGTCAGGTTCATCAATTCAAATTTCCTCTAGTGTGAATTAATATAATTATTATTTACACCAATTTATTAAAAGCATTAAGCCACAAATCATAGTGAAACCTTCTGAGACAATTGCATTTTTATTGCTAATTAGGAATATTTCCGATACTCAATTGAGCATTTATGAATTATTGAATAAATAATAGTTCTGAAGTTCCCAATCGTATTTCAACACATGGAAACTGTGCTATGGTCTGCCCCTATTTACGAAATCGTTGCGTCAGTTTTTACTTGCAGTAAATTTCTAGCCGTTTGAAAATGATTTTAGCACCTAAAAATTGACCGAAAAATTCTTAATAAATATGAAATTGAAAGGTATTTGAGTGATGATTCTATTTCAGAAAAGGAAAAAAATTTGCCAACTCGCCTATTAGTGGCATAGGTGCAGGAATGTGAAGATTAAATAAAGGTTGGTGATCAATTCCTATCCAATGTAATCCAATGCGCAGTTGTCTCTAATCCTTTTTTGTATAATAAATAATACATTTATAATCGCAGCTATGTCGTGTGGAAGATATAGGGACGCATGTGAGCCGTTTTAATCAATAACGAACAGATTCGACACAGAACTAGTTGAAAAATCTCGATTTTGAAAACCCTATCTTTCTGTAATCATTCTCGCTAGACACCTATATGTTGATGAAATTAGATGGATTAGCTCTTCAGGGAGAATCTGAAATTGTAATAATGCGAAAAAGGAAATGTGCTAGGACTTTTTTATAAAAGTGGCTACGTCGCAATTTTGAAAATATATTAGATCGATAGAACAATTGATAAAATTTTCATAAAAATCCTTTGCTGCGTTCTCCATAAATGTCTAAAACCCATTGACTATGAGTCAATGTATGTATAAACATTCTTTCTTCAATAACTGCTTCTGTATATCATAGATTTATTATGTCAAAAATGGTAACAAGAATGCATAGGAACCAAAACAGGGGGGTTATATACATATATTCTTTTTCTAGAAATATAAAATAAGTAGCACGCCACTGGATAGTTTGGAGGAAATCAATCATATCTATGCCGTAAGGGATTATACTGTGGATGTCTATTACTCATTGAACTCTGAAGAAGAAAGAGTTCTTGTGAAATTTTGACATATAAGCCATTTTTCGAATTATTTGCAGTTTGCAGTCAATTATTCTTTTGTGCCTACAAAGCTCCAAACCAATTCAAACATACATTCTGTTGATTTTCACTAAAAAATTGACAATGAACCAGACGATCACAGACAGTGTTTTGTTCTTAGATCATTTTGTTCCTCCCAAAACGCTTTACCGCAGATTCCGTAATAATGGCATATTAGTTCTCAGTTGTCCTCAAGATGACGACACTTTACAGAGTTCTTTCATGACGGAAAACAGAAAACGGCGCTTACACACCGCAGAGATAAGTTACCTATCTCTGCACACCGAAATACTGGGGAATTTTAATTATCATCAGTTCTACCAACCTTGAATTTTTGTTGAGATTTCGCCATCTAACGGGTAAAATGCGACCTATAAATCATTGAAAAGAATCCTTCTGTCAAGTAGGCCGTAGGTCAAGAACTTTCACCGAAAAACTGTAGATGGGATTTGATAGGAGTTTCTACTCAGTTTCTACACCAACTTCGGTTCATCCTGCTAATGTGTTTTGTCATGGTTTTATCAGTTCTATATTGAATATCCAGAAAACTTAGGAATCAATCCATTCGGAAGCTTTTCATCCTGTAACTATTCTAATCCTTGTCCGATTTTTGTGGAGGTTCAAACCGTAGTGTCATGTTCTGGGATGTTGGCATAAAATATTAGTTTTCGTGAAAAGCTGATAATCATCATACAGGAAAAAACAATGTTACTATTTCACCCTTTAATTCTTAACGGCCTGTGGCGAAATTGAGTGATTAAACTTGGCTTCATTATGCTCTGGATTGGAGTTTGATCCCTTCGCAACACAATAGTTTTAGTTTCACGTCAATATCTTATTTTTTAAGAGTGTTTCAAGAAATTATGGCATTTTTCAATTTCCATCAACAATAATCAGAACCTATATAAATTTTATCGATGAACAACTTGAGGAATTAATGTTACTCATTTATATCTTCTTTTCTTACCACTTACTCATTTATACCTTCTTTTCTTACCGCTTACCGGAAAAATCCTTATCTATACAAAAAACAATCAAAGCAGACCTATCATCATCATTTCATTCCACATATATGACCAAATCTATTTGTCAAAGGTCCTTTTCCTATTTTGCCCCAAGAGCTTATAATTCAATTCCTGATGAAGTTGAATCTATACATAATTTCAGACAATTTAAATATAAACTGAAAAAATTCATACAGAGTAATTCAAGATTATGGTGCAATAATATTTTTGAAATCATATCTTGATCAATTTCTATTACAAACCCTATGTGTATTTTACCTTTGACTTCAACATTACGTGAATGAATAAATAATAAATTCAATAATATATAGAGTGTTCCGTTTGAAAAAGTTGGCGCGGACGTGATTACTCAAACGTGGATCACCTCCTATATCTAATTTTTCCTCATAAATGTGGAAAATTGAGAACTTGAATCGACCTGCTCCAGGAAGAGTCCTCATGAATGAATAGTTTGCCTAAAAATTAATTTATTCAATACTTTACGGAACGTCATAACTCGAACTTAGATCATTTTGTATATTCAATTTTTCTTCAGAATTGTGGAAAACAGGATATAAAAATCGACGTGTTTCAGGATATTCCTCATAAATGGATAATTGGGATAAAAATTAAATTTTTCAGTACTTCACGAAAGCACTGTATTATGGAAATCGAACTCTAGATGTAATTGAAGTCATATATTAGAACCCTAAACAAAAAACAATTGCTTACAATTATTATATACCTACTCCTAGAATTATAGGTACTAATTTTTATATGTTATTCAGCTTCATTTTGATTTTTATTTCAGAGTCATATTATATTGAACATAAACTCCTTTTCTTCTTGGATAATATGACGTATTGATAAAAAATTCTAAGGCAATTAATTCCATAGCTTTGTAAATTGTTTTTCAAGGTGGTTGATCCATTGTTATTTATATTCAATCTGAAAAATATTGAACAAAATATAGATATCTGGATCATAACTACAAATATTGCAGATAATCCTATTTACTCTAAGGAGGAAATCAGGAAATTATTTTTTCAAATTTTATATAAAAGCAGCCGGAATTATCATCAGATAGTTAATGTGCATTATCTCAGTGGTTTGTGTTGGACGACAAAATGAAGAAAATTGTGTTCATTATATTGTTAGTAGCCACATTCTACGCCGTAAGTATGAATACAAGTCGTAAATACTATCCCATTATCTTCGCTATTCCTTTATATTCGATTCTTGAAATTGAAATGGATGAATGGACCATCATAAACAAAATTTGAAGTGGTCAAAGGAATAGGCAGAAACATGCATGGAGTTGGAAAATATTTGGGAAGCACTATTCAGTTTTGGAACATTTCAAAAATTCAGATTGTCAAATAGTGTTAAGCACTATACCACATCTATTCAATCATTTCCTACGGTGCAATCAATAATTATTGTTGAAAGTTGAAAAATTTCTGTTCATTCCATTGATCACTTATTTCATTCCATCCAAAATAGTCGCTACTCAACCAATTTTCTAAACTCATTAAACATTTTATGCAGGATTTTGCTGAAGGTGGTGATTACAAAAAATTCACCATATTTACAAAACATCATGTGTCTACCACTACTGAATCTACTACGAGTGAAGAACCTGTAAGCATAAGCTCTACATCTACTAAAAAGCCTAAAACAACTTCGGAACCATCGACAACAGAAGAAATCACGACTCATCCTACGACCAGTTCTACATCCGAATCTACAACGCCCAGTAAATCGACTACTAGATCTTGGACACCATCTACTGCATCTACGACCAAATCGACTACTAAATCCTCAACCCCATCTACTACTGCAACTACGACCAAATTGACTACTAAATCCTCAACTCCATCCAC